AAGTTGTTTTCGAAACTTTTTCAGGTTTTTTGATTGAAATAGATATATTTGGGGTAGATTGTTCATTTTAAATGTGATTTGTCTCGTTTTATGAGTTTTTAGTTGTAAAAAACGCAATTTTTCCATTTCCAGGATTTTCCAAGACCGAAAAAAGTCGAAAAATTCATCTTTTCGACTGGGATTTCGTACTTTTTGTCGTTTCTAGGTGAGTTAGTGATACAGTAGAGTGTTTAAAATGTATTTGTTTTAATTTTACAGATCTTCGAAAGTTGCACGATTTTGGCTCAAAATTGCACTGAAAGTAGATTCTGGGTGTGGATTTATAATAAAAAGACGAAGAAATTCATATGAAGAGGCTTGGACAATTTCATCTTCAGCGCTGAAGCTGTTCCAATTCGTTTTTATAAAGTATTAGCTGGAGTTTCGAACAACGTTGACAAAAATGTATAGCCGGAAGGAAAACATCGATTGTGTGGTATCAAGAGGGACTGTTGAATATGATTATCGATGTCAGGAATGAGGTACGTGCTCTTACTGGTTCATTCATTATTTTTTATCAAATTTTTGAAATAATGTGCGAAAAAACACTTTCATTTCTGCAAAATCTTCGAAAAATCCGTATTTTTTACTTAAAAAGTTTCATTCTGCCAGGGCTATCTTTCTAAACTGGTTTCACATCCTAATTCGAAATTGAGAAGTAAAAATAAAATTTTTCTTTTTATATACACAAAAAGTTAAAACGTAACAGCATTTTGTTAATAAAATCACAGTCGTTTTACTGATAAATTGAGATTTTTCTAAAATATTATTGTTTTTCGCAGTTTTTTGACAAAAAAGTGAAAATTTCAATGTTTTCTCGAATGATAAAAGTTTGCTTCAAAATTCTATACAAAATTTATGACGAGGCAATAATGATTATTTATCGGTAATATATATAGATCACACTCAACCCAATTTAACCCCAAAGCTTTTGAATGTTTTAACGACGAAACAAATTTCTCATTTTTTTATGGTAGATCTTGAATTTTCTCAAACTGTGTCGGAGATAAGCGATCAAATATTTCTTAGTGATTGCTGGTCTTGTTGAATAATGATTTCGGTGATGATTTTGAGAATTGATAACCCCGAATACTTTCCTGATTTTGTACATACCTATGTGTTTTCTAGGATGATGTTTCAAAATAACTATTTTCTGCGGTTTTCGGACGTTTGTTCGTTTTTTAAGATGAGCAGTTTGATTGGGATGATAATGAGGATGAGACATTTTTTCTGCCTTTGGGAGATTTCGAGATTTTTCAGATTCGAAAGTATGAACCTTTTGATTTGAATTGGAAATTGATGTTTGATATTCAACAGTAGCATTGATTTTTTGAGTAATTTCTTCAATTAAGCTGATAGAACTTTGGTTTTTCTCATTCGTCAAATAATGTTGTGCTTGAACTTTCAGCGGTATGAAAATAATACAAAATAATGCCATTTTCATGGTTGGTTTAGAACAAAAATGTGAAGAAAATAAAAGCTCCCGAGCCTTGGCTAGACATTATAATATTATTTTTAAGACATCATTTCTGAAGTGGGAAAATATCAATAAAAATTTACAAATTTCAAGAGTTCATGCAAACGAAGCAGGAAAAAGTAAAAAAAAAACATCACTTCCTATCAATTCTAAGAAGTTCTTCTTACTACAAAATGTTTTATAGACAGAATCAAATTGAATTAGGATATTTTTACATAGTGTGTCTAACAATGTAGTCTGACCCCTATCTTCCTTTTTATTTCCTTTACATTAATGATTTCTCACGTCATTTTTGGTCATTGTTACAGTAATTTGCCACCTGCCATCAAATCTTGAAAATCAAGATAAGCTCATAATTATCGATTTATTTATACCCGTTTTTCTCTTTGATCTTGTGAATATTGGGTCACTTTGAGTAATTGTTTTAATTTTGAAACTAATCAGAACATTTTGATATTTTCATAGTTTTGATGGTTGTAACAAGACAAATAATTTCATATAAATTTCAAACGAAATAATACATTTTCTGACTATTGAGACGGTACGAGGAAATGCATCAAAAATGCCGACATGACCAAAATCCAAGAGACGAAAAAATGTTGATTTCTGGTAGTCAGAGATTTGTTTGAACAGTATATATTTTCTTTAAGACTTTTTTATATTCATCTTGACTTTATCGATTATTATCATAATTTATGAAACAAAGTTTAGAGGCATGTTTTGCTGTTTTGCATTGAAGCAAATTTCTTATTTTTCATTTTTAAAAATAACAAGGAAAAGGTTCAATCACACGTTTTGATTTCTCAGCTTCTTCGTTTCCAAATTTCAATTTTCTGAGCATCATGCAAATGCATCCTTTGAATTGTTCTATTAATTTTTTAAATCTTTGTTGGAAAACTTTTGTGAACGTTAGTAAATTTTTTCATAAGTGTATAGAAAAGTAATTTATTTTAAAAATTCATAATATCTTTTGCTACCCCTGATAATGCCAAAACTCTTAATTATATAGTATATTTACACTCTTTCACTTATACATTATAAAATAGATTACGGTAACTTGCCACCTGCTATTGGATTTTCATGAATATTGAATATCAAGATAAGCTTATAATTACCCATTTATTCGTTTCTGTTGGTACCATTCACTCTTTTGATCTTCTTAGAAATGTGCCACTTTGTTGAATTATTTAAAATTCAAATCTAATCTGTGTTTTCCAAATTTTGTATTATTTTGATCATTAAATATAGTCTGAAAAGAAGTTACTAATTTTCAAAAAATTGACACACTGAGCGGAGTGGAATTAGTCTGACAAGTGGAGAATAGCAAATGCCGACGTAACTGCTCGAAAAGTGTTTTTGAGCTTTTTAAAAGTATATTTTCTGATACGAAGTCAAAACTAACATTTCCAATTTTATTGGATATCAAAGAGTACAATATGAGTGACTAGAACTTTTACGACCGCTGTCTTTGTGTTCTGTAGTTTCCAATCTCAACTTTTTTGGTTGTTTTGGAAGAATGTTTGAAAAAGGATAAAATGTTTTTCTAAGAATATGTTTTTCTAAATCTAAACACCTTAAAACACCATTATGTTTCCATATCGATTTTTGGAAAACAAAAAGCATTTTCATCACGTGCCACTTTTTTCATCCTCTCGTGATTGTTTTCTTTTTACTCTTAGTTTTTCGTTAGGATAACAATCTGTTTGTAGTTTTTTCCTGGCTCTATGATTTTTCAATAGTTCCTTATGAAGAAAATGTATTCGAAGTTATCACAATTTCATAGCTGGTGCCACACGGGCCTCCAAGGATTCCCGATTGTTTTTCGCTCTCCTTAAAAACATTCCGAATTCCATAGACGGACCGGATCGACGGTCTCCAATACCCTGAACAACTCTACATTTAATTCTAAAATATTGCTTTTAAACTGTCCAAAATTGTGAGGAGCAAGAAATTAGTTTCTATTTCAAAATGAAGCATTCCCCCTGTTTTTTTTTGAAATGAGATATGAAAGAACACGTTTCACGCAGATTTTGTTTCTCAATTTGATTTTTCATTTTTAAATTTGTGAGACTTCTAAGATTTCTTTTTTCTCGGTTCCATCATCTTAATCTTCAATGGTTCCGCTTTTTTTTAGAAATCAACTGATTCAAACCATAATAGAAACTTTTCTTTTGTCTCCCAATCACTATATTATTTCCAATTCATCAATTCCTATAATGTATATTCCCGTTCGATACAATTTTATCATTTTTCAATACTCGATCCCTATTATATTGTTTTCTTTTTTCAGCCAGTGTGTCCTCTAATTGATAAGTGTCTATGGGTGAGAATCGATAATCAACGGGCGGCGGCGTGCGTAGTTGTCAGGTGAGCCAGCTTTTCCTCCTCAACATAGTTTGGAGAAGTGCTCAAAAGTATGGAGAGCGTTGAATCGATAGAGATAGAAGGGGTAACATTGGAGGATAAGAGTATTCCAGAGGGATTTAGGAGCTGGACACGATCTGACGGCTCTTTGGCTAGCTATTTTTCTTCTTGACATAGTGCTACAGTATACCCATTCTACCATATCGCAATCGGAAAAAACCCTTTTCTAACACCGCAGCGTCAAAAACTAGTGATAGACTTTTTGAACCAGGGTGCCTCAAAGGTACCGTTAGGGTACCAAAAAAGTGATATCTTTAAGGACGAGCATTTGCAGCCTTGTTGTCTCAGAATTTAAGCCTGGTCTTGGCACATCCTCTCTGAATTATGGTGAAATTAAAAGTCTTCAAATAGGTCAAAAGTACATTTTTCCATTGAAATTATTGCACTTTGAGATATTTCATTTCCTACTTTCCTGTCTTTGTACTCATTTTCATCCTTACAATTAAAACCGAAAAACAAAAGAACTAAATACCACATCTTCATGAACATCACAATTTTCCAAGTGTTCACGGTCCCAAAGTTCAGGCTACAAACTTTTTCTTCTAATTGTGAAATCATCGCTGGAAGTTCTCAATAACAATTTTTTATGATATTTGAAAAAAAACGATGATTTTTTTTTTCCCGACAAAAAAATTGTTCTAGAAGAAGCAAAAACGTCAGTAGATTCCCTTATTTTTTCACATTTTCCTTTCTCAATTTTCTCGAACAATATAAGACCTTATGAAATGTTACCTACATTATGATGCTCCTCAGATCTCGGGCTATTCAATGACACCCAATGTTATTGAAAAATGTTGAATTTTGGAAAAACGAATGTTTTTTGAAGAAAACACTTATTCATAAACGCTCTGCTTTGTTACAGTAGGCTCTAATTAATGAGCATTGACCAATAAATAAAAAGAGGGAGAGAGGAAATAGTGTGAAATGGGTTGAGAGATAGAGAAAAGGAGGAGGAGTTTGTGCATTGCACTTTATGAATGCGAACACCTGAGTTATAACAATTCACTTTATTCAACATTTTTTCATGGAAAAACACAAAAAAAAACCATTTGTGAAAAAGTTATGGTCTGGTTGAGACATGACGCATGATTATTCTGTAAAATAGATTCATTATCATTAAGTTTTCCGTCTTTATTATATCTTACTTTTTGTCGTCTTCGTTGGCAAAAAGAACGAACAAAGTAACTAAGTTGCTTTGCTCAAACTTCACATGAAGACTTGTCGAAGAATTAGTCACTGGAAATAGAACATTTGAAACTCCAGAAAAATGACGCTTAGGCCTCCAGAAAAATGACGCTTACTCTGAATAGTTTTTTCCCGAAAACTTTATGAAAAACGTTTTAGGCGACACCTGTCTTACTTTGCTCACAATTTTTTTTCGTTGTGACATATTTTCAAAACTTACTGAACGATGGTTCTGGTGCTTCATACCTGGAATACTCAGTTGCCGTGAAATTGTCATATTCGAAAATCTGAAATGAAAAATCCCAATTTCCAATTAGAAAATTCTCTTATCTATGTATCTGCTCACCGTATTTTCGCCCATTTTGATTGAAATTTGTCCGGTCCACGAAATTTTGATTTGAGCCTCTTGCCAAATTTGCAAATAGTAAACCATGCAACGAACCCATTGATTTCGAAAATAAGACTGAACCATTTTTCTGAAAATTGAAAAATGAGAGAAAAATTAGGATTGTTCTATATTTTTGGGAGAGGTTAGATATAATGAGAGCCACGCTTGACTTTCTACTCCTGCGCTCTAAACTTTTTGAACAGCCTACGCAGGAAAAATTAACACTTGCTGTTAGAAAAGGTGGAGCTTCAGTAATTGATAAAAATAGCTTGTTTGATGAGGAATGTGCAAACACAACTATATAGAAAGTGACGTGGAGATAAAATATTGAAAGAGTTGGTTGACCATGTTGTTGAATTATGATTACACTTCTAATATAACCAAGATTATTGAAAATTGGCATTTCCGTGTAGAGTCAGAGGTAAATGAAAAAGCACATTTTTTTGCATAATTAATGGATGTTGAGATTTTGTAATCCGGAGACCTACTTATATTTGAAAAAAACATTTTGTAGTTTGGCTAGCTCAAAAATTCAGATTTTGGCTTGAAGTTCGGCTTTAGGCTTTAATAGTTTCTAAATAACAGGAAAGTTCAAAAAGGAACCAGGAAAAATTCGGCAGTAAAGTGTGTGGAACATTATTGTTTTTCTGTAGGTAATATTCAGTGCCACCTGGTTCTATTCTCGATGTTTTGCGAGGAACTCTTCGAATAAGCTTATAATTATACCAACCAGCTTCAGAATCCCTTCTTTCTTAGAACATTAACGAAATAGAGTGAGATTTTCACAGGAATTTTAACTCCTATAATTCTCAATATCTTATGAATGAACATAACTTCTGATACCAGTTTTCTAATTAAATACATTTATTGTTTAACGTAACGTGCAAACACCGAAACAAAATGGCATAGAAATGAATTTCAATAAAATTCAAAATCAAAAACAAAAAAAAACAGATGAGTGCGACATTTTGAACAAGTCAGATTCCCAATTCGAACAAAGTGTTGCGAGTAATTTGTCTGAAAATATAAAGATTTATTTTATAAATTCTCAAAATCTAGTTCACATATCTTACCTTCTATCCTCCTCGTTGTCAAAACGGATAGTTATAGTTGGCTTTTGAGTTTCTCTTAAGATAATTTGAAGATTTCGATTTTCTGTGTGTGCTGAAAAAATACATTTCTTAAAAAAAGAAAATCCGGAAATTTTTGTCAAACTTACTTGCATAGAGCATATTCATTGGAATAAGACTTCTATGCCCAAGAATGGTGTAGTTTTCGTAGATGAGAGTCTAGGGAAAATGAATTTTTCAAGATCAAAAGAAAAATTCGAAAGAACATACCAGTTCCGCCGATATTTTGACAGAAATTGTTCCATTTTGATCGATTGCGATTGTAGCCCTCATCCAAGCTTCCATATAACGAGCATTGCAATGAATTTCGTTTACGAGTGTAGCCATTCGAAGCTCTAAAAACAAAGACATGTGACACGTCATAACTACGAAACATTTCGAAAAGAACGCACACCAAGATGCACTTATCTCAATGAATTTTCACTGGAAATATATCAGCAACTGTGTATTACTCTCTACCTCTCTCTTATATATTAGCTCAACTCTAACTTTTGTAATCAATCTTCCACTGCCTGGCACGAGCGCCCCTCAAAAGTTTCGAAACTCAAAGTTGTTTTTGATTTTTTCGAACACACCCGAGATAATTTTTGTCATCATAACAGATTGTTTTACGCACGCGAAATCTTCTAATTAAAATTTGATTTGATAAAACTCCTGGAAACATTTCTAAATTTAGACTAAAATGTGAAAGATGTGATGTAATATAAATGGAATATCAGCTTTGCACTTTTATAGGCTGAGAAAAATTGGCTGACACTTGACAAAATTTACAGTTCATAAGTTAATTTTGAACGTTTTATATATGTTCAGAGAATTCGATTTTATTTTTATTCAATTTTCCCCAAGATTATCGATTTACAAAGCTTAAATTTGGAAAATTCAATTTTTCTTGCATAGGTTTTTCAAATTGAAAATTGATTCAAGTTTTCATTCAACTCACCGCATTTCTTATTTTCATTCTATTCTCTGACATTTGAAAAGCTAAATCCGAAAGAATTTTCCAGTTTAGTAAATTCTCCGAACTTCTGGGAACTATACAAAAAATATAAAACTAACAATTTCATTCACTCAACATAGCCTAATTAATAGCTGTATACATCTGCCGCTCAACCCGCTTCCTACATAATCTTCGACTATTTTTATTAGTTTCTATTTTTCAAGTTAATGAAATCTCTGATTAGTATTTAAAAATTTGAAAAAGTTGTAATAATTGTTTTTCATTCACTCAAAAAATATCTGCAAGTTTTTGAGCAAAAAAATTTCGATTTCAGACAGCTCAATTATATTTATGACACATACATTATCATCACTCGGAATACTTTTTTTCGAAATTAATGAGTGTTTGAACTTAACAAAAATCTGAAAGCATTCAGAAAAAAACTAAATATTTGAAAAAATGAACATGTTTCTTGAGAAAAACGCTTCGAACACTTAACCAATTAGAAAATTCATCGGTGAACTTTTTTGAGGAATGAGAAAAATTATTTGAAAAATTTACAGTTTATGACTTCTAGAAATCATTTTACATACATAGGTTAATTAAAATTGAAGAAAGATCAAAGATATTGAACATCTTGAACAATATACACCCTTTCTGAAACGTTTACAAATCAAAATAACACGAGGTTTGGCTTGCAAAAAACAAAGAGGGGAAGTGTACACATGTTGAATACATTTTTCCTGATATAAAAATAAAAATACAATTTTGAATCTGAAGAATGAGCCAATATTATTAATTCGCTACCGTAATTTCTAGCTTAATTTTGATATTTCATATTTGATTTATGACTTTTGCGAAAATTCGATGATGTCGTGCTCGATTATAACTTTCGGAAATGGTTCAAAAACTGATCTTTTTTTGAAATGGCTAACTCGAAACTGTATATCTCACTAGCATTTATATTGAAAGTTTCATGGAAACTTCATTACTTAATAATTTTATTTCTAAAATTTTGAAAATCCAGACAACTCACTTGAAAATATCTTACCTCTTACTAATTGTTTGTTATTAGCTCTGATAATATTGTTCTGTTATTATGGTGAAGCTCAAAAGAAAAAAGTTGTTATTTCTCTATGGATTTCAATTAATAATGCATCTCCAAAAAATTTGTCATAAAAAATTTTGTTTTCCAAGTAAAGAACACCAATTAGCGATTAACTATACTGTAGGAGAAAGAATGGACAACAACAAATTCAAAAAATTGTGGAAGTTTACGGTACCGTTGAGAATTTGAAACCCAACTTATATCCATATAATGGATTGGGCGTCATTGTGAAACATTTTATTCAGAATGAGAACAAATAAGCTGATTCTGGAATAATTTACAGCGCATGATATTCATCCAGAAGAAAAAATATTTTCTGGATTTTTGAATTTTCTTCCGTCATTTTAGTTCAGTTAACCTATACAAAGTACAAAATTTTTATGTGTTCTTATTTCTACACCGATAAAACCTGGCAGTTTTAATTTAGAATATTTTCTTCTCTTTATTTGCGAATGTGATTTAGTGCCCCGTGAAAGATTTCCCAAAAATTGATTTTTTGCATAACTATTTGAAACTCCGAGATGTGTGTTTTTTTAGTTTCTTTAATTTTTCCAGTTTGCTGAAATTTTAGTAGGGACTGCAAATGGATTCGATGTTTTTTTTAAGTCTTCTGCTGGTTTTTTTCATTTCATACCTTTTTTAAATTCAACATTGGGACTGAATCTTGAACTGGTTTTAGAGCCAACACATTCATCAAGCTCGCCACCTCCTCTTCCTCCTCCTTCACACAAAAATCAATATTTTCATAAACATGCATTATTTTTCATAAAGCTTTATCAACACAAAATACATTTTAAATACAAAAAAAACCATGTAGATAAAAAAATAAATAAAAATCCTGATTTATTCCCTTCTATGTATATTGTATCTGTGGCTTAGAATCAAAATCGAATTGACCCTCTCAAGAAACAACCTGAAATCCCAAAGTTATTCTAAAAATATTTCAAAGAAAAAACCTACATAGCTTGATAGATTTCTTCAAAAAACATAGCAATAAGATCATTTCTGAATGGAATTTCAATAATCATTCCACCTCCCTCTTCAAGTGTCACAACTTGCCATCTACTGCGTGGTACCGTGTGAATATTAAATACCCAGCTCTGAAATTTCAATTTTTTTGTGAAAAATAGGAATTTAATTTGGAACATTGGATAAATCCTACTTCGAATCCAATTGTATCAATTTCCAAAGTTCCACGTTCTGTCAAAGTGAAATGACATTCATATACTTCACCACGTCTAACAACTTTGCATAAGCCATTCATTGATCAATAAATATTAAAAACAAAAACGTATATACGAAAAATAAAGCGGAAAAAGTGGAGAGGAAATAATGAAAAAGGTAAAATTATAAACACATATGTATTTCGTCGGCTTAATTTGAGAGTGCATGGCATTTGGATGCTCCGCCCAAGAATATGGTGTGAATAGATTTTTGATTAGCTGATAAGTCCCAATCTCCGACAATAATTTAGGAAAGCTCTGAAATCATAATAATTAGAAACAAATATGAATTAGAGTAACTCACTGGAAACGGATGTCATGGCAAAAAACCATGCCAATTTTTGTAGTTGGTCTTGTTGGATTCATAGGATCACTGACTGAAACAATTATAGCAAAATTTTTTCGATTTTCAGATAGGAATGGTGAACTTCTTTCAGGGTTTGATGTCCAAAGTTCGTAACCGCGAAAAAGATATGTGAAGGTCTAGAAAGAAATTTTTGATGCGCATTTTCTGAGTTGCCGGGCTATTTAAAAGAGACCTCAAGATCCCGGAACTCACTTCTTGATTCATTTTACAAATATTCAATTCGCCGGATTCATTTATATCAAACGTACAACATTTCGGTTCATTTTCAAAAACTTCTTGTCCATTTTCCATTCTTATTTTTTCGAAATGACATGAGCGCTGGAAATCACAACTGGGCAACATTTTGATCGTGAAAGAGAGGTAATCTGAAAACGAGGAGTTTTGAAAAAATGTAGAAGTTATTCAAAGGAAATAATGAGAACGTAGTTCATTCTCCAATAGATTTACGTCATCTTTGATACAAAAATGGTTACAGACCGGAGTTTTTTTTGAAGTTTAACTGACGTCTCAAACTCTAACATTTCGCTAAAAAATGAAATCGGAATGTGATCAAAGCAATTCAGCTGGAAAAAATCCCAAAATCTTTCAATTTCAAAAAAAATTTCAGCGTCAATTCCATGACAACAATTATATGACTATATTTCAAGGAGGAGTTGCACAAACTAAAACTCCTCCTTTTTTGATTAATAAGTGTTCAAAAAATATATATTATTTCTCGAAAAACAATTTTTCAGAAAAATAATACCGAAATTGTAGTATGGAAATGGGAAATTGTGGATATTTGAATACGAATAAGAAAAAATACTTCTGTTTGAAAAAAAAAAACAGGACTTTCTTGAAGAAAACGTATTCCAGGTGAAATTTTATATTTTGATTTTCATAGTCAATAAAAAATAATTGAATTATAAAAATTGAAACGTGTGTATAATACTTTTGAGGTTTTGAGATTTAAAAAATAGTTTAGATCTGAATAAAAAATCATTTCACATATTCCCCATCAATTTCTGATATTTTTCCAGAACAAAACAAATCAAATCGTCTTTCCGATGTTCATATAAAAACCGAATCAAAGCTTTGCTTCATATTTTCTATCTCAAAAGATGGCTAAATTCATTGCTCTCCTCCTTCTTCTCATCTCAATTATTTCTGGATTTTCTCAAGATCTCAAAGCCTGCACCTGTCATCAGGATTGTCGATCCGATTTCGGCGAATTATGCATCATTTTTGCTGAGAAAAATGGGGCAACATTTTGCACGATTCCTGCCAAAGGAAAATAATTTTCTGCGTGAAAAAAAATGAAATCATTTCAATTTTTCGAAAATGTTGAAAATATCAGCTATTCTTCTCGCTTGTTTCATTTTATTGATCGTAGGAATGCCAATGCGTGGCGATGAATGCAGTTCGAATTCGGATTGTCCAGAAGGTGAAAGATGTTTTTGGATGGCTGGAGAATATAAGGGATACTGTGTATTGAAGAAAACTTGAATAAATATTTTTTTCATAATTATATACAAATTTGATTTCATTTCGAACAACTCTTGATGATTTAATATTTATTCTTCAAACTTGAACAATTATGGTCCGCAATATCCGATTCCATTGGTGAACATGCAATATTGATGATCTGGACATTCGCTGGTATCGTAACATCTTTTTTGAGCCAAAGTGAAGGCAATCATTGAGATAAAAACGAGAAGAGAAACAAGTTTTGACATTTTGTTGTTATTTTTTGGAATCAGCAGCTACTTTTATATTGAAAATTTAATTCGATCCTAATGCATTTTGATTTGCAAACAAACAAGGAACCAAAATTCATTCGAAGAAATATTAAATCATATGAGAAACTTGGATGCAGCATTCAAAAAATGTAGTTTTGTGATATTTTCGAAATCCGTGAAGGTATCGCTTTCTAATAACATTTTCAGCTCGATAGGCCTTTTTACCGATGAAAGAATAGCAGGCTGTAATAATTTAGAAATTGAAAAAAAAACAGAAACACGATAAAACTTACAATTGAGCAATCATTTTTCATTTCAGCGTTTCTTACTTTTTCCAAAATTTTCTTGCAGTCATTTTCTGTGAAATATTTTAAACATCTTTCTTTCAATGAGTCCATTTCGAATCTTTGCGACAAATCTAGTAATATTCCATAAGTTCGTTCTGAACAACTAAATTCACGTTGAAATGTGTGTTTTCAAACTGACCTGTTATTTCTATTGGGTCTGGTAATATAGCGGCCAACAAAATCAAAAAATCATCAGATGAGACATCAATCAAACTGATAACCTGTTCACGAGCTTTCAAAATTCGGTTGTTGAAATACTTTGATGATGAACAGAGCAGACCTTTGCTTACAAAAAAGTTGTTCTCTCCAATTTTAATAATGAAATCTGAGAAAATCGATGCATTTCTCGCAAAATCATAAATCTTGTACAAAATGTCAAATTCGATGTCGATGGATTTGATAACTTCTTCCACATTACCGAAAATATCAGACCACTCAAAATGTCTTCCCCAAGAAAGCATTCCTTTCCTGAATAATACAGAATCATAGCTGTGTAGATTTTTTAGCATATTTCCTTTTGCATCAAAAATCTCAACATCATAATAAACTTCGTTTAACCAATTTCGTTTTTCATTTATAGCACGTAAATACAGATTAAAATGCTTGATACCTTCTTCAACTTCCGAAAACACAAAAATTTTCCTGAAAAAACGATTTCCACAATTATTTGTATCTTTCAAGCTATCTAAGTTCTCACCATTCACATCCATCTTTCGTCTTCAAAACCTCACTAACTCTTCTTTGATTATCAAGTGTGTCGATATCGTCAAACTTCCATCTGATTTTATCTTTATCCTTAAGGATGGGATTCATTGTTGGAAGTGTCTCGAACGAGCTTGTTGTTCACGAGAAAACAGCGCTAAAAAATGAAAGAAACGTCCAAGAGAACTACAATACAAACATTCGCGACGAGAGTTTTCATGTTTGAGTCGTGTTCCTTTGATACTGTATTTGTTTTTTTTTACTTTTTTCAAAAAAGTTTTTTATATTTACAAATCCATTTTTTTTAAATTTTTACTTATTTTTTATTTTCATTTTATGAAATTTCGCAATAATTGCTCTCCTTTACCAATCAAGAAACCCATGTTCATACATGAATCGTGATATTAAACCCACTTGGAGCAAGTTTTTTTCCCAACCATTTCTGAATTCGGATATGATTCATCATGAAAAGCTTTTCAACAAACAACCTTTTTTGTATAAATGATGTGTTCTGGGCTGAAGAATTTCTTATTGAAAAATGTTTGGGTTCAGACTAATTCTAGCTATTTTTGTTTTCATTAGAGGATTTCATGGATGTGAGTTTCTAATATATAATGCAATATAGTGTAAAAATTAAAGAAAATAAGTAACGTGAAAAAATTGTTGTTCAAAATGTGTAAACTGTAGATTTTTACTCAACAATTTCTAATGTTTTGTTTTCAGATATAATTGGAAATGGTGTATATCTCACACCATTTTCTGAATCGATTCCAACAATATACAATCCATACGCCGATTCAATAGACCTTCAACAAGCATACGATCCATACGAAACAATCAATTCACAACAACCAAACTCCAATCCTACAATCTACAATCCATACAATTTTCTGTTAGGCAACAACCAAGTGCCTTGGTTGGCAAGAAAATGAATAAATATTTACTTACATCACTGAAACATTACTATTTTTATTTTCATCAAAAGCTTATTAAATTTCTCAGATGATATTTTATATCAGAATTTGATCTTTTTAACGAGTGAAAATAAAATATAGTTCACACATTTCCTTTTTATTTCGAAATGAAAATACTTATCAAAAATAAACAATCGAGTGAAAAAATAAAGAGAAGATTTTTTACAGTAGGGTTAAGTAAGGTAAATATGAGAAAAAGACGGGGCTGTTTACTTTGATTCATTTGTGGCAAGGATCTTTGAGCAGGGCACGTATTTATAGCTCGCAGTTTGTGGACAATTCTCATTTTCGAAAGACACAAAAATGTTCGCGCAAAAGTTTGTGATTTTGAGTTTGGCGGTGGTGGTGTGTCTGGCGCAACAGCAACAACAATGTGAGTTTTGAAAAAAATGCATTTTCTGGTAGGAAAGTTTTGGGTTTGTAGTTAGAAAAAAACTTTTTTAACAACCAGAAATGTTTTTGGTGAAAATGAAGCGCTGATTAATGCTTCACCAATAAATATTTGTCAATAGAAAACCATGTTTTCTAGATTTTTCAAACTATTTCCATATCAGATTTTTCCTGAAAATTTGGAATTTCTAGTAATCATTTCAAACTTTTATATTTTCCAGATAACCAAAACCAATACTCAAATCAAGGAAGTTCGACACTCCAATATAACAACGGTGTAACATCTCAACCAATTCAATACGACAATTCAAACCAGCAATATAATTCCGATTCAACTCAACAATACAATAATAATAATAATCAATATAATTCTAACTCTAACGTCCAAGGTTATTCAACAAATGGATATTCCAACTCAAATCAACAATATTCCTCAAACCAAGCTTCAAACTCCAACACGAACACCTCTGTATCTATTATGAATTATTCATTCAATAATGGAAATTGTCAATATAACAACGGACAAATTACTGAAAATGGTCAAACTCGTCAAGCGACACAAGACGAACTCAATCAAATTCAGCAATACAAAACAAATGTTGATCAATACATGAGTCAAGTTAACACTTATGTTGGATCCTGGATCAATTCAGTATTCCAAACATTGCCAACCAACAACGGATCTTTCCCAAATATTCCAACCATGCCAACAATGCCATCTGTAAGTTTGATATTTATTGAATTATAAATATTATTTAATTTTTCAGCCACCATGCTTGTGCAGCGCTCAGAACTGCGGAAATACCACTGACACTACAGCTGCCGGAACTTCCCCACAACGTGATTTTTATGGTAATCAGATGTCAAACAATCAACAATATCAATCGAATGGAAATTCACAACAATACCAAAATTCTAATCAATACGGAAACTCGCAACAATACCAAAACTCGAACTCGAATCAGTATCAGAACCAAAATCAAAACCAAAACCAATATGGAAACTCACAACAATACCAGAACTCAAATTCCAATCAAAACCAGAATCAATACAATCAATATCAAACTTCAAATGGAAATGCTCAATATCAAAGCTCAAACGGAAATCAATACCAAACTTCCAACCAAAATCAGAACCAAAATCAACAATACCAACAATCAAATCAAAATGGAAACACTCAATATTATTCCACAGGAAGTGCGATCTATCAAACTTCATCTAGCCAACCTTCAAATTCTCAATCACAATCTTCAAATTATTATGGAAGAAGAAAGTGATTCGTTTTTGTTGTTTGATCTATTAATCTTGCCTTTTCTCGTATATTGTTTGAAAAATGAAAAAATGAAACTTTGACATCTGTGTTGAAAATGTTTTGATATAAACAAAACAAGAATGATGAAAAGCAGTAATTACCAGATGTTGAAGATTGAAGAAAACAGTTGTGATTTTGTTAACTTGGAAAACATTCTGGAAATAGTTTTCAACCTGGAGTTTAGAAATTGCGTTATTAATTTGAATTCTTCAAATTTTCAAAGCTTATTGTAAGTCTCACATTTTTTTGTTCTACCGTTTTAAAAAGTCGAAAAACGCTATAGAAATGTTTAGAAAAAAAAACATGCGAAGGAAACATTTAATTTTAACAAAAAATAAAATATTCTTTTACCAAAAAAAAAATATTCGGAATTGCAATTAATTGTCATTTGAAAAATTAAAATATTTGACGTGACATTTTCTTTTTCTTTCTTTTTTGTTGAAAAAATTTTGATTTTCATTTCCAAATTCCGCTCTAATTTTCTAGAATAGATTTTCGAACTAAAAAAATTGTCTACGACAAATAAATCACTTCTGGCACAACACTATTATGCTTTTCCCGAAGTTTTCATCAATGTTGTCGTTGTATAACGGTGTGGTCTAGACCTACAAATCCAGTGGTTAGGATTAATGACTCTCATCCATGAGACCGGTGTTCAATTCCCCGAAACGGAATAACGTTTTATTTTTTTTTAGATTTCTTCCCGAAAGATCGCAACACCTCTCCCACTCACCAATTTAGATGTCTGTTGTGTTCGAAACCGAAATCTATGGTCCGTAATTTGTTTCCCTGTCTCACAATCTCTTCATCACTCTCTCATCTTCCCATCTTCCCATCTCAATATTTTCGTCCCCTGTTCCCTTCTCCCCTCATCTGCTTTTTGGTTGGTTTTTCGTTTTTCTTTTTACACTTGTTGTAATATGCTGCTCCCGTCGACCCTTTCATTTTTGACACACACACAAAAACACACCACACCAGATGGGTGTAATCCACCCAATTTTCCTATGTAGTAACATTTTGAGTATATCATTATTATTTTTATTATTTTCCAGTTTTTTTTTCTGTTTTTGAAGCTTGGAGTACTGGAAGTTTTCATTCTGAATTCAGTTCATTTTTGAACATTTAAAAATTTCAGTGATCTAAATCGCATCTAAACTAGTTCCCCGGAAAACAAAACTATTGTAAAATTAATAATAAAAAAAAGTGTGTTCAATATTATATCATTTCTCAATCGACTAGTGTTTTACACAACTTCTCTTCTTCTTCTTCGTGCTCAAGAAAAAAAGAGCAGGAAAAATTGAAAATTTTTCGAGTGTGGGCGGAATCGTTTTCTGTTATTTTTCTATACTTTTTGTAAATTATTATACACCACGATTGAAATAACAATAGTTTATTGACTACATTATAAAAATAGAAAGAAAGATAAAAAACAATAAAGTTGAGCTCTTTTATAGCGAGCATTGTGGGCGTTGTGTCAACAACAGTTTACATTAAACTGTTATTGAATCTGACGTGTTGTAATCGTACAGTTGAATTCAAATTGATTGAGAAAGTTGATAAATAATCAACATTTCCGCCTCACAAAATTGAGTAGTTGGTTGAGTTGATCGAATTGATGTGGTTGAGTTGAGTGGAACCAATACTAGTGATCTGGTTTGCCACTTTGTTGATGTACGACAGGTTCTGTGCTTGACCATATTGTCGTTTGAGGATTTGTGATATTCGTTTCCTTTGATCCGAAATACCACTCGATGTGTTCGGCCATAAATCGTTTATGTCCAGATTTGCATTATGCGCAGTTTTGTTGAGCTGCCACATATCATAAAAGTTGATGTTGAGTCAACCATGGTGCATCGACCGGGAATCGAACCCGGGCCGCCCGCGTGGCAGGCGAGCATTCTACCACTGAACCACCAGATACGTTGGTGAGAATTCTGAAATTTTTTCCGAGAACTTTCTGATTGAAACATTTTTTCTGAATATTTTTCAGTTAGTCGCAAAATTTTTTTTCATAAAAAAATGTTTCAGAATGGCACCAGCCGCGGTGGCCGCCGCCACAAATTTGGTGCCAAACACAAATGCACCAACACCATCAACCACAACTTTATCAACAATCGCAGTTCGAGCTGGTGTGAATGCGTCGATTGTTGTTGCGCTTTTAAAAAGTGCAGATTATGTTCAATTGAGAGTAGATGAAATGCAACCAAAACTATTAGAGATTGGTGCTAATTTTGAAGAAACTTCAGATTTGTTGAGAATCCATGAGGATCTTTTAGCCAGACTTAGGGATAAAGATGATCAGGTTCAAGAATTATTAAATCGAACAGATGGATTAGGTGCCGAAAAAACAGATGAAAAAGAGACGATTGTATACGATGAAATGGCAAAAAATTTACGAGAGGTACCTATGCAGACTTTTCTTTTTTTTTAACACATTTCCATTTTTTAGACCTGGCGCTCGCTTAACCGCCAACTCATTTTACGAAGTTATCTTCTCCGAGAAACATTGCAATTTTATAAAATGGCAAGTACACATGAAAAGCTGACAACTAAAACTCTCGAAATCATTGGTCAACTGAATGCAAATAATGCTGATCAAATTCGAAATTCTGTTGATAAATTAGTGAATGATATAATTGATACAACAGCGACGGTTGTCGAATTGGGATCATCAGTGATTTCGCAAATTCGAACTCTTGGACAAATTGATGATAATGAAGAGAGGCCTATTGAGATTTTGAAATCGTGTGTTTTGATTGAAACTGTCATGTTGAGGTAAGCTAGTGGGTTTTTCTAGAAAGATTGAAATATGTTTCATACTTTGTATTTTGAAAATATTTTAATCCAAATTTTTTTCTTTGATTTTCTCAAGAATCCGCATAAAATATCAGAAAACTCAAAATTCAAATAAAAGCTTTTTTCAACACTTGAAGAGATGTTTTTTCATTTGAAAACAAACAAAAATTCCGGATTTCTTTTCAAATACCTTCATGTTTCAGAGTTGCTTCTGACTGGGAAAGATCTGAAAATATCTGGGAAGAGAAGAAAAACATCCAACATACCACAACTACGACAACTGATGAATTAGTTGTGATTGAGCAATGGCTGGAATATGCCGAAAAACGTGTGAAAGCACTTAATGAAAATGGCCAGAAAAACGTGCTCAACGAGGGAAATGTGAGTTATTTTCTTGGCTCAATAGTTTTAATGATATATTTTTAGAAACATGTTGCAAGACTTCATGATTTGGCACAATCGCCAAGTTCTGATGGTGGTAGAATTTCACATCTTTCTGGAAGAATTGAAGAATTTTTACATTATTTAAAGACTCGAATGGGAAGATCACAAAGAATTCAACAATTTATTCAAGCTGCCAAAACCATGTTATCACAATTAAATATGATGGTTGGAGATATGAAAAGTGCAAATTCGGCAATGGCAGGAGAATTGGCTCCATTGGCAAAACAAAAAGCACATCCACTTATTCACGAAGGAAAAGATATATCTGCGAAAGAAGTTATGAGTTATGAAGAGCAAAGATTGGTGAAACAATATGTGTCGGAACTTGAAGAAAAATTGAGAGAAATTGAAGATTTGGCAAAACAACGAGTTGAATCGGATAAAACTAATTCGCAAGTTAGTGGAGTTTTTGGATGGTTAGATGGATATGCTCAAGCATTTTTGGCGCAGAAAGGAGATATGGGTGGAAATTTGAATGATGCTAGAGAATTTGTTCAATTGCATAAGAATTTTGCCGCAGAAGTTTCGAATAAAGATCAGGAAGTTATTCAACTATTATCAAAAAAAGGATCACAGTTGAGTTCTGAGGAAAATGAGCAATTAGATAAACTTGCAACAAATTATGAAACTTTGAAAACAATCATTGAAAATCGAATTCAAATTGGTACAACCTATGAACAAGTTCATAAGTTTGGAAAAGATCTCGAAGGATCGTTTGATGCTTTGCAAACCTTGTTGGAAAATAATCAAGAATATACAAATGAAAAAGTCGCGGCTCAAATTTCAAATGTCTTCCAAATGATTCAAGATACATTGAATCAAGAAAAACATCAAGGAGAGAAATTCATTTCGAATGCAACACAAATCGGAAAATCTGATGCATTTTTGAATATTCAACGAGCTCAAGAATCAGTTAGAAATTTGATAACCGATCATGAAAATCGATATAAATATGTTCATCATAAATGGATGAGTTGGCAATCAGATAAAGATGCAGAGAAAAAAGTAGAGAAAATCATCGAAGAGATTCAGATGTGGCAAACTGATGTTCTTGAATTCATTAGCACCGCTGATCAACAAACATTCAATACAAAAAATGAAGTGGAAAGTGTGCAACAGAAAATTATTGGATTCCAAAATGCTCTTCTTCATAACACTGCTCAATTAGAGCAATTAAAAACACAAACTGAATCGGAAGAACAAATCAGTCGAATTAATGTTCTTATTGATAAACAAGAATATATCAAGACGAGATTAGAGCAACTTCAACAAAAAATTGAAACAACAGCTTTGCTCAAAATTGTGGAAGATGTTCAAATTTGGCAAGAAGAAATGGTTGAAATTATTCGAAACTTGAATCATGTTGTTAGTACACAAATCAATAATCAAGAACAATTTGAGAATACTCGTAGAAAAATTGAGGATTTGAAAGTTGAAGTTGATAAAAAGAGTGAACATCTTGAAGCATTCAAAAATATTTCTCAGAGTGAGTTTTTTTATAGAAGGAATGATGATTGTTAATCATATTGATTTTTTTAGATCAAACATATCAAACACAACTTCAGAAAACTATCCATAATCAAGAAACTATTCAAAAAACAACTCATGAACTTCAACAGAAACTTGAGATTTCGCAATTGATCAAAGTTGTTCAAGAAGTTCAAATGTGGCAGGAGGAAGCTATTGAAATTATTCGAATGTTTGATAGACAAGAACCAAAAACAATTCAAGATGCAAATGAATTAATCGACAAAGTTGAAGAATTCAAAAATGTTGTCGAAGAAAAATCAAAGAAGATTCAAGAAATCAAAACAATTTCAAGAGTTCCAGAATTTGTCAACAAAATGGAAGAAGTTGAACATGTTCAAGAACAAATTCATCATTTGACTGTTGAACTTCAAGAAAAAGTTGCTCAACAAAAATTGACAAAAGTTACTGAAAATATTCAAATGTGGCAAGAAGAAATGATTGAAATTATTAGAATGTTTGATAGTACTCCAATGAAAACAATTCAAGAATGCGAAGAACTTCAGGAGAAAGTGAAACTTGTTCGAGAAGCAATTGATATCCAACAACCAAAAATTGATGAAGTCGTGACAAAAGCAACTGATATTAATGTGAGAACTCATATTAGTAAAGTTATCGAACAACAAAATCATATTCGTCAACTCGCTGAACATCTTGAAAGAAAAGCGATAACTGCAACTATCGAATTATCAAAACCTCAACAAACAGTCGAAGAAACTAAAACAATTGAGCTTACTTCTCTTGAAACAACTAAGATCCAACTTACACCAGAAGAAAAGAAAGAACTCCAGATTTTGAGAAAAACAATTGAAGAAATTCAGATGTGGCAAGAAGATATTATCGAAATCATCCGATTAATCACAGCTGCTCCAGTAAAAACAATTCAAGAATCTGAAAGTTTGGTTCAACGTGTTAATGAGATTACACAAACTGTTGAAGCACAATCAACTCGTATTGCTGAAGCTGCAAAATTCACTAAAGATGAGCAACATACAGAAAGTGTCACAAAAACAATGACAAAACAAGAGCAAGTTAAACAACTTGTGAAAGAACTTCATGAAAGAGCAGCTGCACAAAACTATGTTTTCCGTCAACAAATCGAAACTCGTCAACATGTTCAAGCTCCACAAATTCTCACAAGATTAGAAGATTCGGAAGTTGATGAAGGTTGTAAATTTGAATTTGCGGCAAGAATCGAAGGTGAACCAGAACCAGTTATTTCATGGTTGAAAGATGGAATCGATGTTAAAAGTAATATTGATTATCGGCAAGAATATGTGAATGGTGTTGCAACTTTGGTTATTGAGGAAAGTTTTATTGAAGACACAGCTAGATATACAGTCAAAGCTACTAATGATGGTGGAGTCGCAGAAAGTAGCGCAAATCTTGTGGTAAAATCGAGAAGTGCAATGTCTTCAGCAATTCTAGAAGAAGATAAGCCACGATTTGTTAAACAACTTCAAAATGTTCAAGTTACTGAAGGTGGAAGTGCTCGGCTTGATTGTGTTGTTGTTGGAAAACCAGAACCAGAAGTAGTAAGTTATAATTTATTCAATTTTGAAAAACATCTGATGACGATTAATTTTTTTCAGACTTGGTTCAAGGAAGAAACGGCAGTAGTTGAAAATGAGCGTGTTCATTTCGAGTTCTCTGGAGATCATTGTCAAATGATTATTGATCGAACTGTACCATTAGACACTGGAGTTTATACTGTTAAAGCTAAAAATGTTCACGGGGAAGTTGCCAACTTCTGTCAATTGAGAGTTGCGCCTCAAAAAACTCCAAAACCTTATCAAAGACCACCATCAATTCAACCAGCTTTGACCAACACTGTTTGGGAAGAAGGTTCAACAGCAACTTTGAAAGTTTTCACACATGGAGAACCAAAACCAAGAGTTCATTGGAAATTTAATGATTCACCACTGCAATCTTCAAGTCAAGTTCAAATATCTGAACAAGAAGATGGTTGGTCAAAAGTTACAATTCAACAAATTTCACCAGTTCACGCTGGAATGTACACAGCCATAGCTGAAAATGAAATTGGCGAAGCTGTGACTGGTGCAACTGTTCATGTTCAACCATCAATCAATAAATCGATAACAACAACAATGGAACATCATTTGCAAGAGGATTTGAATGAAACCATTGGACAACCAATTCAAAAAACTGTTGTAACAAAAACAAATCAAGAATATGAACAGAGACAACGTCAAGATTTTCCACAACCAAGAGAACCTGAAAAAATTGTTGAAGATAAACGATGGGTTGAAGTTATCGAACAACATTTCGAAGAACATCTTTCGCAGAAATCAATGTCACCAATTCCACAAGTTTTTGAGCGCAAGAAAATTGAAACTCAACAACGATGGGTTGACACAATTGATGAAATCTGGTCACCTCAACCAACTGAAACAATCATCACTGAAACTAGGAATAATTCAAGAATGGATCACTTTAGCTCTCATAGTGTACATGAACCATCACCCAAACCATTGACATATCAAACAACTACAACATCAAATACTAGAAATGTTTCACATATTGGTCAATCTCATCAACCAGTTCAACCAGTTATTGGAAATACAACTACAACAAACGAATCAATCAAAACTATGAATATTGCCAAAATTCGACAATCTCCACAACCAGAGGTTCATGAAGCAAGAACAACACCTGCGCCAGCATCTGAACATGTGGCAGCAATCAGAAAAACTCCAGTTCGAGAAACACATCAATCTACGATTACCCATGCACCATCTTTGGAAAATATTGCAAAGATTCGACAATCACCAGTTCCCGAAACTCATAAATCTACACTAACTAGAAGAAGTCCATCTGTGGAGAATGTCGCAAAGATTCGTCAATCACCAGCACCCGAAACTCACATTTCCACAATTACTCGACGCTCCCCATCCGTCGAAAATGCTGCAAAAATTCGTCAATCTCCAGTTCCGGAACAATTCCGATCTACTCTTACACGACAATCTCCATCTGTTGAAAACATCGCAGTTCAACAACCAGCTCAACAACCAGAATCACATCGTGCAACAACAGTTGGGGGACAACCGATTGCAAATATTGCGGTAAGACAGTTTGATGCAGGGTTCGAATAAATACATTTGATAATTTTCAGCAAATCCACAATGCTCCTCTTCCAGAAGTTCAAGGTGTTATCAGAGAAGCGCCGAAGATCGACAGAATTGATGATATTTTAATGGCACCAAAAGATAAAATTGTTATTACTACTGTAGAGCAAACTGTGACAACAACGGGTGATATTGATGTGAGTTTCTGTCTTTCTTCAATAAGATTTTGAGCCAAGTTTTATTTTTCAGAAACGCTATCAAGAACAAGAACAAAAACAAAGTCACATAACAACTACGGTCACTCAAGGAGAAGAAGGCTGGATTCAACATAAACATCAAGATTTCCAACATCCTGAACAATCCACGAGTGTTACCAAAAAATTGAATATTGAAGAATCGGAAAATATTAGAAGTCAGCGAGAAATTCAAGGAGAACCTGAAAAACAAATCCAGACAGTGACCAAGAAAACCGAAGAGGAAGAAGAACTTCGACGACAACAAGAACTTCAAGCTAAACGAGAACCGCAAACAACAACAACTGTGACTGAAACAACATCGGGTGAGGGTTGGATTCAGAATGTTCATCAAGATATGCAACAGCCACATTTATCAACTGTCACTGTTAAGAAATTGGGTGTTGAAGAAAATGAATTGATTCAACAAAATCAAAATGTTCAACAACCAAAGACAACTAAAACTACAAAAACTAGAGAAGAATTAGAGGAAGAAGAAAGAATCAGACAACAATCAAAGATTCCAATTCGACGAGAACCAGTGACAACAGTTACAGAAACAACATCTGGAGAAGGATGGGTTCAACAAATACATCAACAACCTGAAACATCAACTGTTACTGTAAAACGGCTAGATATTGAGGCTGGTGGAAGTTCCGAGTCGAAAATCCCAATGAGACGAGGAGGACCAAGACCAGTTAGCATTCGACAAACTGATGAAGAAACTTCAATTCGACAACGAGATAGTTTCGCGGCAGCCTCAGAAGTTGAAGGCTTCTGGACTGATGGAGCATATACCGCTTCACCAACTCCTCCACCAGTTCCAATTCATAGAACAACAGCAGAAGATAATATGCAGCGAATTGGTTTATCGAGAACAACAACTGAACCAGAATTTATTAAATTCTTTGAGAAAGAATATACTGTAGAAGAAGGTGGACGAATTGCGATTGAGTGTATTTTAGTAGGAAATCCAAAGCCTTGGACAAGAGTATTTTTCAATAATCGTCAGATTACGGAGAAATCTGAATTTTTGAAGGTTAGTGAAAAAACAATGATTTTCTAAATACCGAGGCAACCAAGTTCTAATACTTTTCTTTTTTTTCAGATCTGTCATGTTAACGACACTTACTCAATTATCATCAGCCCTGCTAGATTGGAACACGCTGGTTACTATAAAATCATCGCTGAAAACAAACGAGGTGTTTCTGAATCATTGACAGTTCTTCACGTGCGTCCACGATCTATTCAAACATATCAGCAACAAAAGAAAAATGAATCTTTATTGCATCAACAAACACAAGACGCAAAGAATTCGGAATTCACGACGGTCGAAGAAGAATTCGCTATGTTCGAGTATGAACAACGTCGACCATTGAAACATGAATCGAGTAAATTAGTGACACCGCCACCTGCAAAACGAATTCAACAAGAACATCGAAGTAATGAAGAACATTTAGAAACATATGATATGGAAGGAAAAAAACCATCTGGGCATCCACCACATTTCACACAAACCTTGGTATCAACTGTCATTGCTCAAGGTGATAATACAAAATTCGAAGGAATTGTAACTGGCTGGCCTGCTCCAACTGTTGAATGGACTGTTGATGGACAACCTTTGACATCGACAGATATAAAAGTATCGAACATCGGTGGACGTGTATCACTAACTTTCCCAACTTGTCAATTATCACATGCTGGAAAATATATGTGTACAGCCAAAAATTCAAGCGGTGTTGCAACATCAAGCGCCCAACTTGTAGTCAGACGTAAGTGACATCAAAGGGTAGTAAAAAAACAATTTCTGGTTTGGTGATAAGAAATTCTGGTCTTTCGATTTTATTTTTCCTGGATACATACAAATGTTTAAAGTTCATTTTCTAATTCTGCATATGTTTTTATATACATGCAAATGACTCGAGTCGTCTTTTGTTATCATTTTGAGGATTAAAACTCAATGACAATTTTGACAGTTTAAGGCAAGGATTAAAATGTCTCTCTCTTTTCAGCAAAAACGATTGCACCGGATTTCATACAAAGATTGATCAGTGAGGAAGTAGAAGAAGGTGTTCAATTAAAATGGACAGTTCGAGTGACCGGCGATCCGATGCCAAAAGTCACGTGGCTTCGTGACGGCTACGAGATTCCGGATTGCGATGAAGTTCGAATCGTCGATCACGGCGACGGTTATCACTCATTAATTATTGTTAAAGTCGAAAGTGCCGATAGTGGACAATTCACATGTCTCGCCGAAAATATTGCGGGTGAAGCAAGAAGTACTGCTGATTTAGTTGTAAGACAACCCGGCGCTCAACCTGGTAACTATTTTCATGTGACAAAAGTGACGCAGGAAAAACAGGTAAGACTTGGGAGAAACTTTTGAAAAGAAATCAAGAATAACACATTCTAGGCCAAAGGATCCGAACCGCAAACGACTAGCGCTTTCGCAATTGAAACTCCACGACAAAGTGAAATGTTGTGAATAATATTTGATAATTAATATTTTTTGTCATTACTATAATAATTTTAATAAAGTTATTTGTTTTTTCTCTATTGAAACTTTTATTTTTCACCATTATTTATTTTTGGGTAATTGGTGAATCATGAAAAAAAGTTTTTGTGGGCGAAGACTTCAAGATGTCATACAAAAAATAACTGTTCGAAAAAACCGAAACGTCAGTGATGAATAATCAAAATTATCAGCGAAAAACGCCTCAAAGGTGATTTCTGCGGGGAAAAGATAACAGTGTTTGTTCACACTTTTCCTTTATAAATCGTCAGAAAACCTCAATTTTCATCATTCTATTATGTTCTCAATTTTTCTCCTCGGATTTTGTGGTGAGTAATTTTTTTCAACATTACCTACAAAATGTTTTTTTTCTAGTTGTTGCCAACGCTCAACAATACATCGATTTGAAAAGCTTGAAAGCTTCGAATCAACCAAATACAATTTTGGCCACTGGAAATGGTTCAATCTATCTTTCCGCCACATCAGACCTTACAACTATTTTGGACACAATTATTTTCACATCCAATGGAATGACAAAGAGGTCAGTTTTCTTGAAAGCATGCCTAATTTCTATAACAATAATTTTTTCAGTGCTACAGATCTTCTCAACACTCGCCTTTTTCAAAACAGTGATTTAATTCAACCATGGATTGTTCAAGGACCTGTCACTGTTTCAACATCTGCTAGTGCAGATCAAATCAGCTCGCTGACTGGAAGTATCTTTTTGACAACAGCAAAACAAGCAACTGATACTAATTTCCTTGTTTATGATCTCAAAACTGAGCAAACCATCAGCACAAATGCACCACAATCAACAATTGTTATTTTGAATTCTCAATATGCTGCAGTCCCATATGTTTCCTCAACTATTTCAGAATGGAAACAATCAATGAATCAACAAGTTTTCTTGTATCGTGGAGTTCCAGATGACAATGCAGAAGTTGCCAATTCAGCAATATTTGCCAATCCATTCAATACATCTGATTTGTCAGTTCAAATGACCAGTGTCGAAACTTTCAGTTTGAGCCTTCCAATTTATTATATGCGAATCTACGGTGGAGTTTCATTCAAAATTAGCCGAAAATACACAAACATTGGTGGAAACCAATTCAGTAATTCTCTCACAACAGGATTCTACATGAAATCCCAAACCGCGGGAAATGTTGACTTATCTCTCCGACCACTCACAGCTCAAACATCTAATATGCTTGGTGTTAACTACATTGGAAATGTGCCGGCTAGCGGATCTGTGACTGTTGGTGTAACACTTGCCAATGGTGTGTCAGTTCAAAATCAATTCAGCACAGCTGCAACTCAATCGATGGGATGGGAAACCAATGTTGGATCACCATTTACAATTAAATCTACAGGAGCAGTTGGAAGTGAATTCTATATTCAATATTACGTCAGATGTAAGATCATTATTAATATTTTCCTTAAATACTACATATATGTACTAACATCTTGAATTTTCAGCTGGTCAAAGCACAACACAATCACCAGCAACAGACTCTCCATACAAAGGAACAACACCACGACCAGTTGTGACAACAACTAGTTCAGCTGGAGCTCTTCAAGTGACACTTTCAATGATTTGTTCATATTTTGGATATAGATTGATGCAATGATTCAAAGAATCACGATTTCATAATAAAACACACTTTTTATAATAAATTATTTGTTTTAATTCGCTGAAAGAACTTTTTGAGTTTATCGAATTTTCAGCCTAATTTTTCTTTTTGAGTTATCAAACCACCTATCTGAATATTTATAGAATCTTGTGAAACCAACACGTAAATAATATACTTGAAAACCTAATTATTTTTTGAAATTCAGAATCTGAATTCAAGCTTAACTTATTTTGTCTCATATTTTTAAATCCCCCAGAACTCACGAAAATCCTTCGTTCCATCGTTGCTCATTTATCCAGCTCGCTCCTTTTTTAAGTGTTCCTCTTGACCATTTCTATGCAACTTGTTGTAGACTTCTGAAAAAGGAACAGTGAAAATGAACGTTCGAAACAGTTTTGAAAATTCTTACCAAAATATCTAACTCAAATAATTGACTATCAAACAAATTCCTTCCGAAAATTGTTTTTTTTTCGGGTATTTTCTGGCATTTCTGAATAAAATAATGACGCTTTTTTGAAAAATTAATGCCAACTCACTTGAAAATAATCGGGTCACGTTTGAATATACCCAATGTTGTTGAGTTACACGTTTTTTGAAGCAGATATCTGAAAAAAAATGGAGTTTGTTGAAGAAAAATACGATTAAATAAGATTATTATTCAGAAAAAAATAATAAAGAAACGACCAAAAACGGAAATGAAAGCAAAAATGGCCTGCCATGGTCTCCCGAACGCATATTGCGCCAACACTTCATACTCCACACACTCTCTCGTTTTCTCTCTATCTCTCATCGGTCTCTTCAGCAAATCGCAATCTCTCATCATTTTTTAGCGCGCGAAACAAAAGCGATCGCTTTTGTTTTTTTTTTCTGAAAAATCCTGGAAATGGAATTTTTAAAATCATTCCGTTTTTTCTTTCTATATATAGGGCTAAGCAACTCAAAAATCTCGATTTTTATCAGAATCAACATTTTTCGACAATTTGAAAAACATATTCAAATTATTTGTTGCAACTATCTTGTAATTTCTATTCAATTTTTTTTTCAAATGGTCGAAAAATGTTTATTCTGATAAAAATCGAGATTTTTTGAGTTGCGTACCCCCATATAGAAAGAAAAAAACGGCATAATTTCAAAAATTCCATTTCCAGGATTTTTCAGGAAAAAAAAACAAAAGCGAAAAAATGATGAGAGAGTGCGATTTGCTGAAGAGACCGATGAGAGATAGAGAGAAAACGAGAGAGTGTGTGGAGTGTGAAGTGTTGGCGCAATATGCGTTCGGGAGACCATGGCAGGCCATTTTTGCTTTCATTTCCGTTTTTGGTCGTTTCTTTATTATTTTTTTTCTGAATAATAATCTTATTTAATCGTATTTTTCTTCAACAAACTCCATTTTTTCAGATATCTGCTTCAAAAAACGTGTAACTCAACAACATTGGGTATATTCAAACGTGACCCGATTATTTTCAAGTGAGTTGGCATTAATTTTTCAAAAAAGCGTCATTATTTTATTCAGAAATGCCAGAAAATACCCGGGAAAAAGCAATTTTCGGAAATTTGTTTGATAGTCAATTATTTGAGTTAGATATTTTGGTAAGAATTATCAAAACTGCTTCGAACGTTCATTTTCACTGTTCTTTTTTTTTTCAGAAGTCGACAACAAGTTGCATAGGAATGGTCAAGAAAAACACTTAAAAAAGGAGCGAGCTGGACAAATGAGCAACGATGGAACGAAGGATTTTCGTGAGTTCTGGGGGATTTAAAAATATGAGACAAATGAGTTAAGCTTGAATTCAGATTCTGAATTTCAGAAAATAATTAGGTTTTCAAGTATTGGTTCCACGAGATACTATATTCAGATAGGTGGTTTGATAACTCAAAAAGAAAAATTAGGCTAAAAATTTGGAAACTCAAAAAAGTTCTTTCAATGAACTAAAACAAATAATTTATTATAAAATGTGTGTTTTATTATGAAATCGTGAACTAAAGGCGACCTGGCGGCCATGCGGTTTCCAGGTGGCCGAAGCGATCTGGTAGCGAGCTGGTCAGCGAATCTCTGAGTATATGCCGACGTGCGGCGCGTGTTTTTTTTTGCCGCACAGTTTTTTGTCTGTATTTTTTGTCCGAAAAAAGCCCTGTCTGCAGACACCGCCGCATACCGTATCAACGGTAACAGGAAAATTTTTTTGTTGTTTTTTTTCTTTTTTTTTTATTTCGAAATTTGGAAATGGATTTAAAGATTTTCTTTTTGATTGTGAATTTTCAGGATGATTTACAAAATTTCTTTTGACGGTAACAAGCTTTGATTCAAAAATTGTAGAACAAAAATAAAATGTATTCCAAACAAACATATTGTCATTCCGAAAATAAAAGAACTCCCGTTTGAATTGGCGCTCACGTACAGTAGACTAAAAATGACGTGACACATGCACATCAAACTGGTTGGCAAATAGCCAACGTATAAATTTCGCATTTTATTTTTAAAATAGACTCCAACATTTTGCGAAGTCTACTGTGGTCTTGGTTTCCTAGGCCATTTCGGTTCTCTTCCAAGGTTCTTATTTTTTCGGAATGACAATACACATTTTCTAATTTTCATAATCACCTTCATTTCGAAAACAATATTAATCAAAAAAGTTGTACTGCTGTCACTGAAAACACACTCGACTTTTTGCTAGCGACAGTCGTTGAGAAAATCTCGCGCTGACCCAAACCAATATCATCTACTTTTTTCGGCTCAATTCGAAAAATTCTGAAAATAACTCCAACATAGGCCAAACGTATTGGTTTGGTGAAATAAACCATTGCAACAGTGGAAACGCTTCCGTGAAAAGATACAAGAAGTAAAAGAATATAGGCTATCCCTGAAAAATAGTTTTTTTAAATGATTTCATTAGTTTATTCAAGTTTTTTGAATAAAACTTACAATCATGTTCAAGTGAAAATAAAATCGCATAAAGAAATCCAAAAATTGGAATTCCTAAAAGTGTCCCATGAATTGCTGCCTGAATGAAAAGACTCATTAGAAGCATTTTCTGTAATTGCACAGTTTTTGCTGATAAATGCATCGATAAATAATCTAATCGCATCCAAATTGTAACAGTTATATGAGGAATTATAATAGCAGCTGTGATTATTGCAAACACAATTAAAGATAATATTGGTGTAAATATTGGATCGAGTAAAGGCGGTGCAACTACAGTTGTATCACATAATATTTGAATTGGAGAATTTGGATATTCCTGAAATATTTTATATTTTGCAATAAGTACAAGATTTTCATCTTACTCTTATCAAATTTTGCTTAAAATGATCTTGTTTTGGAACACATGTTGGCATTGTGATAATACAGAAAATTGGTATACCCAACGCAAAAATCCAGAAAAATATAACAATTTTATGCAAGATTTTTTTGCTCAAAGTCTCTTCTCCAATCGCAGCATCAAATCGATAACGAAAAAGTTCGAGAATTGAAGTTCCTGTATGAACAACACAGAAAATCATCAAGTAAAATTGGAGGAGGCCTTGAGTGTTGTTATACTTCAAAATTCCTGCTCCACGAAAAACAACCAGAGGTAAATATGTAACTGGGAGAAAGAACACGGAAATATAAATTTCAAAAATGATATTTCCGAAAGTGTGCCAGAGAAGATAATTACGATATTGACGAAGAGCTGGTGGAGCATTGCAAATTAAAACGTATAAAGAAATTATATAATTTGGAAGAGTTATGAAATGCAAATAATGCATCAGATTTCTAAAGAATTAACTCGCTAACTATAGTTAAGTTTGTGCTAAATAAATCAGAACTCACTCATAATATTCTGGAGCTGGTTCAAGACAATCCACTGCTGATGCATGAACCGATATTATATTTTCAGTAAAATTTATCATATCTTATGTTAGTGTCAAATGGAATTGTATAAAGTCAACAAAAATGAAAAAATATTGATATACGAGTTTAGTTAATCTGATTGGTTTTCGGAATAATTGAATTTGCTCCTACTAATGTTCATGTGATTTTTTGAAACTTTTTAGTGTAGCCAAAAAAATGTTCGAGAACTTTGGTGAGCTAATATATCTTGCGAGAAATATCGATTTTTGAACAAAGAGTAGTTCTGGAAAATCTCATTTGGAGAAACAAACAATAGATTTTAGTTTGGAATGAAAGCACATTTGAAAATTATTTTCAAAGAGATTGTGACGTATTATTTCTCCATCTATTCTAAAAATTTTTTTATAATTGGGGGCTTGAAATTGGTCTATGGATACGTGATTCTCAGAAAAAATCAAAATACTTTTCAATTAAATCATATTGCGTAGTAAGGATATACTGTCTAGACTCTAGGGTTCAAAAATCTTAGAATCCTTTGCAAAAGTACAATGTAATTCGAGAAAAGAAACATACTGTAGATCCCATGTGAAATCACGATCGAACAAAAAAAAGTTCAATATAAATGTTTTTTTCGTTGTTTTCATAACAGTTTTTATAATGAACGGTAGTTCTTGGACTCATTTTCAGCATAGAGCTCAAGCAATTACAAGTATTTATGGTGTAATCATTAATTTGATTTTGATTTTGTTAATACTCACCAAGTCCCCAAAAACTCTTGGGCCTACAAATATTTGCTCACCAACACTGCAGTTTTTGAATTAATTTATTCGATAATTGATGTTCTGGTTTCACCAAGTTTCTTCTCGTATGGTTCAGCATTTATTCTGTACATTGATATAAGAACTTCCGTTTTCTCACCATTAATAATGAATGTTTTGAATGGTGTTTATTGTGGATTATTTGGAATATCTCTCGGATTGTTTTCGATTCAATTTTATTATAGATATCTAGTTTCTATCGGTAGTCCGCGACTTAAAACATTCCGAAATTGGAATATATGTTTATGGATGTTGATTCCTTTCGCTGATGGAGTTATTTGGTTCTTAACCACTTATTTTCTAGATGCGCCAAGTGATTCAAAAAACAATCATATCAAAGAGTATTTGGAAAGAACTATCGAGATAAAAATAGAAAATATTGTATACCTCGGTTCTTATTTTTATCCAATCGATGAAAAAACCGGAAAAAATTGTATTGATTCAAAATCTGCTTTTGCAGTTATTATAATGAACTCAACATTACTAATATCATTCTCAATCATAATATACTTTGGCATAAAATGTTATCGCTCTCTTCGGAATAACATGAGAAAAATGACTTCGCAAAAATACAAAGGAATTCAAGTTCAACTATTCTATGCTTTAGTGTGTCAAACAACAATTCCAGTACTACTTTTACATCTTCCAGTTGTCACAACTTTTCTTTGCATAGTTTTTGATAAGGATATTGGATTGATGAGTGGAATTGTCACTATTTCAATTGCACTTTATCCAATGATCGATCCAATTCCCAACTTTTTTTTCATAAAAAACTATCGAAACGCAGTTTTTGGAAAGTTTTCTGAAAAATTAAACAAAAACAATTGTTTGTTTTTTACAGAATTTCTAACAGAATGCAGGGCCACCAAATTGCGAAGAAAAATCAACGCAACAATGAGAATGGTCAATACTTAACTTTTTACTTAATACTTAATACTTAAGTCTTAACTTATTTGAAATTTAATTTTATATTGATAAACTGTTAATAAAAATCGAATGTAAAATATTATAATCAAAAAATGACAAGAATAGTTGTCGATGTTCACATTGGCTGAGAAAATGTCACATTTTGGTAACCTTTAAATCTTGCACAAAATGTTCGTATTTCGAGAAATTTTCGGATCTTTGTTTAATAATCGGTTCTTCTCATATTGAGCCCCAAAAAATGTTCTGTAAGTTCACTAGTAGATTTTACTGTAAAACCCACGGGAAAACTTACCAAGCAGAAAACAAGTTTTGTTTTTCAGTTTTTTTTTCTTTCGTTCAAAGATGAATGGAAATTCTTGGAATATTTTCCAGCATCGAACTCAAATAATAACCAGTATTTATGCTGTAATTATCAATTTAATTCTAATAATCCTGATCCTGACAAAATCTGCAAAAAGTCTTGGAGCCTATAAATATTTATTGTTGTACTCTGCAACATTCGAAATAGTTTACGCAGTTACCACATTTTTTGTTGAGCCAAGTTTTTTTTGTTATGGTTCTGCATTTATGCTTTTCATTGATACAAGAACCTCTTTATTCACACCAATGATAATGAATATTCTAAATGGTGCCTACTGTGGATTATTTGGTGTCTCACTTGGATTATTTTCACTATTGTTTTACTACAGATATCTTGTTTCTGCTGTTAGTCCACTTGTTGCAACATTTCGTACATGGAAAATTTATCTATGGATGTTGATTCCATTTTTGGATGGTGTGATTTGGTTTTTGACTAGTTATTTTCTCGCTTATCCAAGTAGTTTGAAAGACAATCATATCAAAAGATATTTGGAAATTCATTTTGGAGTAAGAATTGAGGATGTTGTATATCTTGGTTCATATTTTTATCCAGTTGATGAAAAAACCGGCAGGAATTTTATTGATCCAAAATCTGTTCTTGTATTTGTTATTATGAATTCAACATTGGTGGTTTCATTGTCTATCATAATATATTTTGGAACGAAATGCTATAAAAATCTGCGAAGTGATATGAGAAGAACAAAATCACGTAAATTTAAAGGAATACAAGCTCAATTATTTCTTGCTTTGGTGTTTCAAACAATAATTCCAGTGGTCCTTTTACATATTCCAGCTCTTACAAATTTCATTTGTATTATTTCTGACCAAGATATCGGATTTATAAATGGAATAGTCACTATTTCAATTGCACTTTATCCGGTTGTCGATCCAATTCCCAACTTTTTCTTCATAAAGAATTTTCGAAATACAATTTTCAGTAAGTTAGGTAATTCGATGCTTAGATTTAGATGTTTTTACAGAGTTCATTACTGGATGCTGCTTCACAAAATTGCAGAGAAATATTAGATCTGCCATACAAATAATCAATTCATAACAATTCAATTTTACAATTAGAACATTCAAACAAAACATTCACATTTCGGTTGAGAAGTTTTATATTCGTGTTTTTGACTTGTTATTATGCACATAAAATTTCCTTCGGGATTTCTTCACGGCATTTTTTTAAAAGTTAATTTTGAATATATTTTTCTGAAGAAAATAAAATGAAATGAAACAAAAACAATGCATAACATTGAAAGTGTGAGTACGTAAACGTGTTGACACGAACAAATATCATAAAATTCATTTTTATTTCAAAAAACACACTAATAACAACTGGTAAAATATATCATTTTTATAACGGAATTGATTCATTACATCTCACAGTATAAATATGAGGTACTATGATAGTTTCCCTTTCTCGAGATCGGATGAATGATTGAATTGCAAAACGATAAGGTTTGGTGAAAAAAATCATAGCGATTGTTGAAAATGAGCCATGAAATGATATTAAAAGAATTAAACAGTATGCGATCCCTGATTAAAGTGAGTTAACAATTTTCCAACTTCCAAAAAAATTTAAATCTACTTACAATCTTTATTCATTCCAAAAACCACAGTATAAACAAATCCAGACATTGGAACACTCAACATTGTTGCGTGAATTGTAGTTTGAAAAAATAAACTAATCATCAACATCTTCTGTAGTTGAATTGTCCGATTAGACAACTGTCTAGATAGTTCGTCTAGACGATTAAGTATTGTTTTCGTGACTTGCGGTAAAGCTATTATTGTCAGCCCTATTATTAGGGATATCATAATCATAAGTGGAGTAAAAACAGGATCTAATAATGGCGGTGCTAGAATTGAACCATGACAAAATATCGGAAGAGGTATACTTTGAATGTGCTGAATGTGCAAATATCGAGCATGATTATCTCAAAATAATATAACTCACATTTCTCAAATTCATTTTATAAATATTCTGCTTTTTCACACATCTTGGAAGAGTTCCAAAACCAAATATTGGTAGAAGGAATGTTAGAAATCGTAGTGAGAAAATCAAAACCTTGAAAACTATTCTACTTTTTTTATTCTCGATGCCAACCACATCAAATCGATATTTGAACATTTCGAAAATACAAAAACATGTTTGACAAGTCAAAACCACTAATAAATAGAATTGAAATAACCCGCTAAAATTAAAATATTTGAAAAGTCCGGTGCCACGAAAAACTGGATATGGAAGATAAGTCATCGGAAGCATGAATAATGATATAAATACTTCAAAAATCAAATTTCCCATTGTGTGCCAAAGTAGATACTTCCTATAGGATTGCAAAGCTTTAGGAGACTTATAAATAATCAGGAAGATAGCTAGAATATAAATAGGAATTGTGAGAATATGTGAATAGTGCATTATTGATCTGGAATTATATAACATTTTTAATATGTAAATGTCAAACAAACTAACCTATACGGTTCTGGCGCTTCTTCTGAACAAATGTCCCAACTCGGATCAATCGATAAAATCAAACCATTTAATTCATGATCAGTGTCTTCCAAATATCTTCCCATTTCTTAAAATATTTTTTTGTTCTTTTTTCTTACAATCAGATAAAAAACGAAAGAATGCTAAAAATGATTACTGGTTTGCCAAAACACAGTGGCTTTTTTTTCAACAAAAAAAAACGAAAATCAAAAATTCAAAAACTTTTTCGAATAAATAATTAGGGCTTATTACTATTGTTTATTTTTACACGTATGACGTCGAGAATCAAGTTTTTTTTCGATCTTTTCAAATTCACAAACAAAAAACAATAAAAATTAATCCGAAAATTACAATCGACCTTCTGGTTTTTTTTCTCGATAAATACCACCTTTGGTATTTATTTATGTAACTTTTTCACAATGAATCAGAAAAAGTATACAATTTTTCATTCTCTGGCTTTTTTTGAACATCGGATTAAATTTTTGTGAATGAGTGAATGAAGGTTATTCCAAGTTTGATTTTTTCACTCACTCCAGTATTGAAACTTTTATCGATTGCGTAACAGAAAAAGTTTACTGTTTCACTTTTCGCAATAATCCTCTTAAAACAAACCAGAATTCAAAAAACATAACAGATTGTTCAGATCAATTCAAAATGCAAGTTTCAACCAAAATATTACTATTATTGTTATTATTTTTTGTTTTCAAGTCTCAAGATGTTCTAGCAGCAGTGATTCAGGTAAGAAAAACATTTTTGTTTTCCGTAATTTTGTAAATACAATTTTGCGAGTCATTTGCTTTTAAAAAACTTGAAAGACTTAAAAATCCTAGAATCTAGAAAATTTTAACAAACTGATTGACTGAATAAATTCCTGAAAGTTTTCAAAATATCTAAATTTTTAATAAAATCTTATCACACAAAATCATATTCCATGTGATAGTAATTTTAAATGAATAAATAAATTTCTTATAAATAAAATATAGTAGTAAAACTTTGAGAACAAATCAAGTAAAAATCTCATAAAACAAATAAAGTTTTGGGCACATTTTTAATAAGAGAAAATTAAATCATAAATTTAATTTTCGTCGAAATTGGTGAGTTATGAAGTCTAGTGTACATTTTTTGAACTCTTGGAACAAGTTTAATGTTTTTCATAATTGAGTTTTTCCTAAACGCAATTCACGTAGTTCTGAATCATTTTAAAAATGTTCTTTTTTTTTTCAGAAAATAAATGTGCCGGAAATCAAATCAGATATCAAGCCAAGTTCAAATTCAAGTTCTCAGCGAGTTCGACGACAATATCCTTATGGAATTAATGGTTTAGGAGGATATGGTGGATATGGAGGTTATGGAGGGTACGGTAGTTATGGAATGAATGGCATGGGAATGGGATATCCGGTTTGTTTTTTTTCCAAAATAATTTTTACAATTTTCAAACAACAAAGTTGCAAAAAAAGCTCAAAAGTTTTTTTTTTGAAAACCGATATCGCAATTTTTCCAGTACACGGCATATAGCAATGGTATATTTCCGCTGGCCGGTGGGTATTATCCTGGAAGTATTGTTGGATCTGGTTCAATGTGGGCGGCTGGTGGAGGACTTGTTGGAAATATGTTGTCATTTTTAATAGGATAAGCCAGAGTGAAAGCTGGGTGTTTTTTGTAAATAAATGGATTTTGTGGTGAGGTTATTGCCACTTTTCGAATACTTTGGTGTTTTTTGAAAACTAACTTCCTTATAATGTAAAATTCTGTTTGGTGAATAGAAACTTCACGTGGTTTTAATGTGCTAAATAATTTATAAGATCGCATAAACCGTCCTGCTTCTGATCATTAAAATCAAATAAAATTTCAGCTGTTGTCTTTTTTCATTCATTTTTCTGACAGATTAAAGAAACCTTACATATTGTGAAATATTGGGAATTCAATTTTTAGTTACGAGATTATATGTTGTGAATATCAAAAATAAATAACATGTTTAGTTTTCTGAAAAAAAAACATTTTCACAATTTATTACAACATATTATTGTTTCTAGTCGGAAAATAAATGTATTTGATTCACCACTAAATTTATACTATGGTATGAATTGTATTCATTAGAACATGATCTATCAAATAAGAATAATTTATTTTTATTTTTCTGCTTCGCTTGAAAACAAATCAGAACACTTATTTCCTTCTTTTTGTGCCTGTTATCTTTTGACCAAAAACATAAACACAATTTTATCACATTGGTTTTTTGTAAGATCACTTTCCGTCTCTTTCTGCATGCAGAAAAATACATGAAATTCAACCTTGAAAAATATGATTCTGATTTGTAAACGAAAATGTTCTGATTTCTTCGACAATCAAAAATGATAATAATCGAGAAACTTCGTCACAAAATTTTTTAATCTTTTAAAAATTCCAACTCTACTAATTTTATAATTTATATCTGACATGTTTTATTATTTTTTGCTGCGAACCCTTTCAGTCTCGTCATTATTATCAAAAAAAATTATATCTAGTTTGAACTTTCCAGTGAATTTCAGTGAATAAAAATCAGCTGTCAGGATATTTTTGTGATTATGTGAAATTTAATAAATTCCTATGATTTCAAAATTGCAGGTTAGCCGATTTTTTCCATATTCAGAAAATAGTTTTCTGAATCACCAAAAACTAGTACGTCATTTCAAGATCCGCTTATAGCAAAAACAACATGTAATTTTTTCATAGTGAAAAAATAGAACTTGAACTATACTTTTCCAAAACTTCTGACTTATGAAAATTGTGAATAAGACTTCAAAAAAAAAACTAATTGTCACGTGAGAAATTGATTAATCAAGATTGAACGTTGCTGCCAATTTTGATACATTGTTTTCTTTTTATCTCTGCACCCTCTTCTTTTGATTTCGATGATTTTTGTGACCTTTTTTGACTTTTTCGTTATTTATTTTGATAATTATTAAAATTGTATTGTTTTGAATAGCTTTTGGATCGATTCTTACTTTGTTAGACAAAACATTTATTCTTCACTCTGAAAAACTCTAATTATTTTGTTTGGAACATTATTCCCCGTTCAAACTACACATTTTAATTTGTCAAAATTCAATTTCGATAAAAACATTGTGATTAATTCCTAAGCAATCAAACTAGACATTCAAAGATAATAACTGGTATTAAACTAGTATTATCTTGTTTTTAAAGAATATTAAAAGCAGCTGCCCAGTTTCTTTATTTTGGTTTTTTCCCGCCCACTTTTTTTTTTCAAATGAAGTTTCTGTGAGAAACATTAAAAAAAAGATTTTTTATCAGCTAACCAACGAAGCCGTTCATTAACAAAGCCCCAAATCAGAAAAAGATAACAGGAACTTTGTAAGATCATTTTTTCTCTGTTTCTTTTATCTCTCTTCAACTCTCTTGTTGTTCTGACTAATAAAATATGAATTTGTAAACCACCCGCGTTTTATTTATGCATTATGATTTTGTGCTGAAGAAAACAAAACAACAATTTTAATTTAATTCTAGGTGTTCGGAAATATTATGAACCCTGTATTAGTTTTCATGTTGAATCACTGTTTTTTCCTAACTTTTTAAAAATAATTCTAAATTTAAAGTTCTTATTCAAAACAGCGAAGTGTAAACAAAATATTAGTTAGCACTAACAGAATTTATATAAGCTAGAGATTTAAATTATTTTTTCATACAAAAAAGCCAAAGATTAACTAGACTTCATTCGCATAAAAAATTTGACTATATTCTTCCGCATGAAAAATTAATCAGTGCTTTCTTAATATCAAAAAAAATAAAGCTATATGTAATTGGGCCTCTGAAGTATATTATTTTTTCTCGCAGTGCTCTGATATACAATTATAGTTTTCACAAGTTCGAATTATTTCAACATTCTTACAACTTTTTCATGAAAGTCAGGCAGAAAATTCATTTATTCATACTTTTCTCATTTTCTTTTTTTTATATTTTGCCCTTTACAAATTCTCTGCTTTGTTTTGATTTTTTTAATATTTCCAGATCTCCCTAGGCATTTAAATATGATTTCAATTAATAACACAGAAAAGGTCGATCTAGGCCCATGTAAAGTTTGTGGAGGGCACGCACACGGTATTCATTTTGGCGTTTTTTCATGTCGTGCGTGTGCTGCATTTTTTCGTCGATTTATTGTTCTGAATTTGGAATATGTTTGTTTGAAAGATCCAGAGAAATGTCAAATAGATAATACACGAAGAAGTTCTTGTAGACATTGTCGATTTCAAAAATGTTTGAAAGTTGGAATGACTACTGATAGTAAGTTTGCAGAAAAAATATCTTGTCAATCACTGTATATTTTTCAGATGTTCAATTCAACCGAGATGTTTATTCTCATGACACCGAACGCCGGAAAAACAAAAAGAAAGAATCAAGTTCAACAACTACAAGCTCTACAATTGTTAAAATTCAAGATATTCCTTCTACAAGCTTGCAAAAAATTGAATTGAAACTACAAGATGATTTGTATCACTCCGCAGTTATTGAGGAATGTAGAAACATTGATATTCGAGCGGAATGTGAAAACATTTTTCAAAAGGGCTATCCCAATATTTATGAAGATTTGGCAAATATGAATAATTTGCAAAAGGTTGCATTTGGCCTCGAACAATTGCGAGCTGATCAAAAAATGTCTGATATTAATTTTGATAATCGATTGAGTTATGATAACTTAATTCCACATTGGGCAAGTGTTTCCAAAAAACTTGCCAACCTCTTTATGCATTCATGGGCTTTTCGAAATATAAATCCGTATGAGCAGAGGAGAATTTTCAAGTATATTTGGAAAACTATTTATCGACTCGAAAGATTGCAAATGTCTGTCAAAGTTTTTGGTGAGAAATGTATGGATGAAAAGGTTAGATTTTTATGTTTTAAGAAGTAACATGTTTTTGATCATTAGGTCCTCTTTGAAAAAACATGAAACTTTTTTTAGAAGCTCATAATAAATTGTGAAAGAGCAATTCAACTCGATTCATTATTCATAGATATTGATGGAATTTCGAGAGAGAAGAAAAAATTCACCCTGGCAGAATATAAAAAATATGCTCATCGTCTGATTGATGATGTCGCTAGACCTTTGAGCAAACTCAATTTATCAACAATTGAAGTGGCTTTTTTATTATGTATGTGTTGTAATTACAATGAACAAAAATTTTTCGGTAATAATGTTGTGCCAGTTTCTGATGTTTTCGAAGATGAAATCGCGAATAATCTTCATGAATACTATGTGAGTATTGGAATAACTAATTATGCTCCAAGAGTTCAACAAATTATGAAAGCTGCTATTGCAATGAAACGTATTCACACAGATGATTTTGTTGGAAATCTTGTTGATCCACCAGCTATTTTTGATGTTGAGAAAAATTGTGCACATCAATAACATTTTGTAGACTTGTGTATACTTTTTTGTTTGTGTTTTATCTGTTTATTTATTTATTTTGTTGTGCATAATACTGTTGCATAAATTTCGAACCTAGTGAAGTTTTTTTTCCTTGATTGTGAGTTTACAAACTGAGTGTCTCTTAATTTTTCATCAGTCAGAACCTGATTACTAAAAATAAAATCTTATCTACCTACGTAAACTACAAAATGCGCTTTTAGCCAAATTTGATGATATAAGGAGATTTATTCTGACTATAATTGAAACCTGTCACGCGGAAGAATTATAACTAGAGGATGTTTTTCTTGAAAACAACATCAGAAATCGGCTTTAAAATAGAGCTAATATCAAAGTTGTAGCCTACATAAACTAGACATTACTACAATTAGAATTTATGAGTTCATGTATGTATGATTTGTGAAAAATAATGTTACTCATGCTATAGACCAAAGTTCAGATTGCTCAGTTCAGAGCACCTGGCCTATTGGAATTTTACTAGTTTTGATTAGAACAAACTTTCAGTTTGCAAGCACTTTTTATTAATAGAAAATTTAAAAAAAAAGGAGGAGTCAACTTCAGATCCGCTTATCGTAAAACTCGAGTTCTGCCTGAAAATCTGACTATTTCATGTTATTTTTTCTTAACTCTACATATAAAAACACTCAAAAATATCAATTTCGAAAGTGCTGTTGCTGCTATTTTTGGAAATGATAACTTTTCTTCGCTTATTTCTTTCAAAATAGATTTCTTTTCACATTTTTACATCAAAAACTTTTCTCATACTCGGCCAAAAAATGACACAGCTCGGGGCGAGTCGCTACACTTTTTGTCGAGACTCGTTTTGCGGCGAGTCGCCCCAAGCTTGCCTCAAAAGCGGCGAGTTCCGGGCAACTTGCCGCAAATGTAGCGAGTTCCGGGCAAGTTGCTGAATAACGGGGCGAGAACGGGGCAAGTCGCTACACGCTCGGGCGAGTCGCCCCAAGCTCGCCCGAAGTGCCTCGGGCCAGTCGCCCCAAACGTGAAGCGACTCCGCCCCGATCGGTAGCGACCTCGCCGTTTTTTGACCGAGTATATAATGAAAAATATATTTTTTGTTAATCACAAAAGATAACCTATGAATATCTTTTTTCTACGTCACAAAACGTTTTCAATTATAAAAAATTGTGTCGTAAAAAATAGAAAAAAAGTAATACTGAACTTTGCTGCCAATTTTCATTTTTCCGCGCATTTTTGGGCGATTTGATTTCGATGATTTTCTGACCGCGATTTCTGAAATTTTGAGTCGAAAATAATTTTTAAAACATAGAAAGGGATTAGAAATTAAATTTATTTTTAAAAAATCTGGGCATTTTGGTATATTAAAGGTGTTGTGACAGTTATTAAAATAAATTATTTTCCAAATAATTATAATCAACAAATCCAGTTTTCATTTTTTTCGTGATCTCATCAAGTTACGAGATATTTATTATCATGTTCTGTTTTCTAGTCTACCCTTTTTCTAATTCTTCTTATTACTTTCTCTCTGACTCAATAACAAGCACAAAAATAACATTGAGATTAACATTTTCTAATCTCAACTAACAATCAGTAAAGATTAACGTACATGTGATGAATAAGTCCACGATGAGTTCTGATCAGCATCTAAATATTTCTCCATTATTTATAACACAAGTCAGAACTATGTAGAATTCAATAATGCTTCGTAAGATCACTTTTCTGTCCGTCTTCCGTCTCTCAATCTCTCACGTTTCACTAGTTTCTGACTGATTAAAAATGAACCTGACTGTCTCTAAACCTGGTCATTTCTCTCTCTCTGTGGTTTCTTCTCTAGATTTTTTGATTCTATTGTTATCTTTTTCGAACACAAATTATACGGTAGTTTTTCTTATCTGTGAGAAAACTGGCAATCAGCCAGGGGCAAAAATATATGTATTCTTATGATGTTAAAATTTTGTGAAAACCTTTATTTTTAACTTTTTTCTGATCTAAACAAAAATTGGATAGAAAACTAAAGATTACTTTTGTTATTTTGGAAAATGAGGTTTTTGTTCAAATCATAATTTGATGTTTTGCAAAAGACCCATTTTATTTGTTATCCTTCTGTCTTTGTATTGATATATAGTAATTTGTTTTTGAAAAATCGCAGAACATTGTCAACTTTTAGGAATCTCATGATTTTAAATGAAACCAAAGATGAAATCAAAAACTGTCCCTGTAAGGTTTGTGGGAATAAAGCTCACGGTATACATTTTGGTGTGATTTCTTGTCGTGCGTGCGCTGCATTTTTTCGTCGATTTATTGTATTGAATTTGGAATATGTTTGTTTGAAAGATCCTGAGAAATGTGACGTTGATATCAATAGAAGAAATTCTTGTAGACATTGTCGTTTTCAAAAATGTCTGACAGTTGGAATGACTACAGATAGTTAGTTTTCTAATTTTTGATCAACAAGTTTTTCAATTTTTTTATTTTTGCAGATGTACAATTCAACCGAGATGTTTATTTATATGACAAAGAAGGTCGGAAACCAAAAAAGAAAACATCGAAATCAACGTCAAGTTGTAGCGTCGAAGTTATTGAAGTGATTGAAGAAGTGCCTTCTACAAGTCTGCAGAATATGGAAGTCGTGTTGCAAGAAAATGTGTATCGTGCCACAGTTCTGGAAGAATGTAAAAATATCGATATTCGAGTTAAATGTGAAAAAATATTCCAAAGTGGTTATCCAAATATTTATGAAGATTTGGGAAATATGAACTTTTTGGAAAAAGTTGCATTTGGTCTCGAAAAATTGCGAGCTGATCAGGAAGTTATTGATATAAACTTCGATAATCGATTGAGTTATGATAATTTGGTTCCACATTGGGCAAGTGTTTCCACGAAACTTGCCAACCTTTTTATGCATTCATGGGCTTTTCGAAATATTCATCCGTATGAGCAAACAAGGATTTTCAGATATGTTTGGAAGACTCTCTATCGGTTAGAGAGGTTACAAATGACTGTGAAGATTTTTGGTGAAAAATGTGTTGATGAAAAGGTTGGAGATTTTTAAATACTCTATTTTTACAACTTTTTTGTAGAAAATAATTATAAATTGCAAAAGAGCTATTCAACTTGATGCTCTTTTCATGGATATTGAAGGAATTTCGCGAGAAAAGAAAAAATTCACATTGACAGAATATAAAAAATATGCACATCGTTTAATAGATGAAATAGCAAAACCGTTATGCAAACTTGATTTATCAACAATTGAAGTCGCATACATGTTATGTATCTGTTGTCAATACAATGAAGAATATTTTTTCGGGAATAATGTAACTCCAGTCACCGATGTTTTTCAAGATCAAATAGGCGAAAATCTTCATGAATATTATAAAAGCATTGGAATTATCAATTATGCTCCAAGAGTCAAACTGATTATGAGTATTATTATTAATATGAAACGAATTCATTATGATGATTTTCTTGGAAATCTAGTTTATCCTCCTGGAATATTTGATATCGAAAAATGCACACATCAATGAAATCCTTTTCAATTTATCTGTTTGGCATAATTAATAAATTATTTCATAAATTAACTTTCGCAGATAAAAACTTTTTAAAAAATTAAAAATTAAAACAATCAGACGCAAAATGAAGAAAGTTTTCCAAAAATCACAAAAACACAAAAGTCAAGTCATATTAAAAAAATGTCAAAAACTTTATCCAATGTTTTTTATCCGAAAAAAACGAGTTATTTTTCTCTAAATTTTAAATGAAACTCATTCATTTTTTCGCGAAATGTTTGTGTTTGGTTTTTCTATTTTCCAGCCAACTAATTTCCGCTTCAAACTTTTCTCTCATCTCATCTCATCGCATTTTTTGTCCATACGAATTTCTTCCAAATATTTTTCAAAATATTCAAATTTCCAGTGAAAATAAAATAAACAAAAATAAAATTGAAATTGAAATTCTTGCCCCATAAGAAGAAGAAATTTCTTTTTTTTTCTTTTCGTTCGAATTTTTTTTTAGTTTTTTGTCGCTTGTCACATTGCATCCTAAAATTCATGAAAAAGAGCAGAGAAGTCCCAATAAATCCACATTTATGCGATTTTTTGTGGTCTCTAAAAAAAGTGTGCACCAAGGATTACTGTAGCTATTCTTTTTTCCAATTTGTTTTGTGAAAAAGAGAAAATGATGAGTTAATCCATGTTCTTCATCAACAAAACATGAATTTTTTCATTCTTCCTTAGGAACTGGACCTTTTTTCTACTTAAAAAAATGTTTTTTTCTTCAAAACTTTTTCATACCGTCATTATTCATTGCACATCCGCCAAAAGGCCCCACTTTTATTTATTGCATTCTAGAAAAAGAAAAAAAGAGAAAAAACTTTTCTGGAACTTTTTTTTGTTTGAAAAAACTTCAGATGAAACTTTGCGATATGAATTTTGGGGTAAACATTTGGTTGAATTTTCCCACGTGGATTTACTGACCAAATGTGACATTTAATTTTTTGCACCTTGGTTTTTGATTATCTTTGCCAATTTTTATAGCTCTATATTTTTAACTAGATTAGAGTTTTCAAAACGTTTCATATCACTGGCTTTTATAGTTTTACTTCAATGTTTTTTTCAGCCAGTTATGTAGATTTAAATATGAGTAATTTTCTAGTTTCGTGTGTGGGGGAGGGTTAATAAAAACCAGAGGGTTAATTAATTAATTTTTCATAAATATTCCTAACGGTTATTTTTACCATCAACTTTGGCTGATCATAGTTCTGAATACGTAGTTCCTGCGACTGTCTAGAGTAGGTGTCTACTTACCATTCAGTGCAAGAGGAAATTAGGTTTTTCTTTAGAGCATTTTCCTGTATAAATACCCCTAGAACCAGTCAAAATGAAAAAAGAAAACAGAAAATGTTCTCGATTTACCAAACCATTCATGTTCTTCTTTCATTATTCGCAATTCACGTGAATATTCTCCTACTGTACTTGGCGGTTAGAAAAGGTCCAAAAATTATGAGACCTTGCTCAGCTCTTATTGCAAATAAGGCTATAACAGATATCATGTCCTCGTTGGCAAATGTATTTGTGATGCAAAAGTTTTCGGGAAACGGGATACTTTATAATGGACTATGTAATTTTTTCGGTGATAAAACATGCTATGCGGGGTGAGATTCAATTTTGAAATTTAGAAATAAATACATTTTAATAAGTTCCAGACATCTATTGATGATGAGTTTTCTTGAACATAACCTGATTTGGCTGATTGCTTGTTATATTTTTCGATATTATATTCTTCATATCAGCCAGCCTAAATTGAAAAGTATATGTTTTTCGGCAATCCTAGTTTACACGCCGTCCCTAATTCATGTCACAATTTGGATTTTGATATATAACCAAAATGTTAATGTCGTTTTCACTTCAACAATTGTATTTTTATCTCAACTTGGATTAACTTCATTTCTCGTAGTTTGTAGCTACTTTTGGATTCGAAACGTCCTCATAAATTATCTCATTTCAAAAGGAGTTACATTATCAAAACCTTTAAAAAACCTCAACACTTTGCTAATTAAAATTCTAACTTATCAAGTTTGCATTCCATTTTGGTTTGTTTCTGCAATTATTCTCTGGCTAATCCAATTCATTTTTGCTGAAACAGAAACGATTTCAGAATTAGGATCTTGGGTGACAATTTCATTCATGTTGGCTCCAGTAATTTCACCATTTTGTTATATATTTTTTGTTCCGTGTTATTGGGATTTTTGTATGGGACGAAAGATTGTTCAGAATCAGAACAAAATTACTTGCGTCTCAACTTTGAATTGTACATAAAAATGGTAATTTCTAAATGGGACCACAGCAATTTTTGAACTTCTTTGCAGCGCAGTGCGGCCCCATTCAGTATTTGCCTAAAAATTATTAAAATTTTCTAAAAGTTCACATGTGCTTTTTTCAAAAAATAAATCTTTTGTAATCCTCATAAATCTTTTCAAACTGCCACGTCACAACTCCCACACGCTTTTATTCAAAAAATAAACTTTTTTTTAGTTATTTTTGGAAATCCGGCAACATCCCAAAAATAGACCAACACATTTATAATAATAAAAATACATACAACATATATTAATTTCCATGTCTGCATTGAAATTTGAGAACTATGTTTTCATTTTTTTTAGATGAACAAAAAACCAAAATCTTTTTTCTTCATGAATATTTTTCGCTATTCTATTTTTATGATGTTGCCAAGCAAAAAGCCGTGGCTAATTAGAATATGTATGTTCGAAAAAAAACGAGAGAAGAAGAAGCAGGGAAAAGTTGAAATTGAATTAAATGCAAAGGATTTTTCGTGTGAGAAAGGGAAAAAATTAGATTTTTCATGTTTGTCACTTTTTTTCCATCACAAATTATTTAGCAGAAGTCTCAATTTTTTTCGTTGTAAATTGAATTTGGTCAGTTTTTGTTTGTTGTTTTTTTTCGAACAACTTTTCTTTTGGAAAAAAAACTATTTGTTATTTTCTTCATGCAAAGAAAACCAATCAATCCAGATTTTTGATTATTTTGTTTGGTTTTGTTTTCATGTTCAAAAAATATAATCTCATATCATATTTTTCCGTTTTGACATAAATACAACAAAAAAAGCAACAAATTCAAAGTGTTCTTCGACGGAATTGGCCCAATTCCGTTCCAGACAAGATTTATTTATTTTATTTTTCTCGTTTTTTCTGACTTCTTTTTTCTTTGCGGGCTTTTTGTGGCAAATGTTTATATTTTTGACTTTTTGTAACTCTTTTTATTTTTTCAGTCAGTTAGTCTTTTTTATTTTAGAAAATTTTTTTGACTCACGAAAAAAATGAAATCTTCGGCGAAGGAAGAAGACTCTAAATTTTTTGTACTTGGATACGAAAAACAAGGAAAAATGTGCGTGTTTGTGTAAAAATTCACATAAATCCTTGTTTTATTATTTTTGTCAGATTCGAGAGAAAATATATTTTTTTGGGAATTTGTTTGAGAATGGGTTTTTAGGTTTTGTTTTGGGGGAAGGTGAACTCGAGATTTTTTGGCAGCCAAAAAATCTAGGACTACGTTTAGCACCGAGTGATTTACGCTATGTAGAAATGAGCCTCGCCTGATAACTTCTATGCCAAGTAGTCGAATATGTATGTCGAGGTGCGCATAGTAAAACAACTACAATTTGGTTATTTTTGTAAATCTTCAAGATTGGTCGAGGCTTGTCTGTGACCCCAGAAATTTAGAAGCTCAAATTTTGGTTTTCAAATATTTGGGGCTTCTAAAAAAATTCAGTTTTTACAAAAATTAATTGTCAAATATAATTTTCACCAACTGCTCTTCCACTTTTCTTCATTTTTTTTCATTGTCAATTTACTCGTTCATTAGGTTTAATTTTTCTCGTTGTAGTATTCAGTAAGGACAATTTGTTCTTCTTTCTCTTCCTCATTTTTTTTCCAAACCGATGTTTTCATTTCATACAATTCAATATCGAAAATATTGCAATTTCAGATCCAAATAAAATGTTCATTTTGATTGTCGCTATTGATATTATTCACACATTCATTCTTTTTTCTCCAAACATCCTTTTTCTTTTTTTTTTCGCTTCTTCCCGCCCACAAAAAAAGAAGAAAACTCTTCCATTTTTACTTTTTTTTTCTTTTTCTCCAACACTTCAATTTAATCAAAAAATACTTATATATCTAGATCTATTCCAATTTTCGTTTAGTTTAGATAACTTTTTTGTTCGAGACGAAAAAGTGTTTTATTGCAGGCTTGTTTCTTCTGGTAAATGTGATCGGAAGATCAGAAGAGAAATAGTTGCAAAGACGAAGGTTTTTTGAAACAGGTGGGTTTTGGGTGATTTCTTCTGGGTGATTTCAAGTTTTGGGTGATTTCAAGAGTTTGGAAATTATATTTTTGAAAATTCAGAAGTTTCTAAAATTTTCAAAAACTGAAAATCAAAATCAAGAGTTTTCGAATTTGGCTTGCTACTTTCTTTCTATCTCTCTTTATAGAATTAAATTTTTGGGAATATTTATACCTTGGTCCATCCAATTCAGAAGCCCGATCGAGATAATCCGGTTTTTTTTTAATTTTGATCTAAAAACTCATAATTTTCTCTCACAAATATTTTTATAACTTTTCTGACCAATTTTCAAAAACTGAAGATCGAGTTTTTCCTGTCACTGACACATCAACATTTTTTAAACTTGTGCCAGGTCTGAAAAGTTAAACTGCCTTAACATGAATCAAGTACACAATTCAAGCAAAAAAAAAATCAAAATTCAGCTTTGTTGAAATGAAGCCTGAAACTTTTGACATAGAAATTTTAAATTGCACACAAAAAATATATAGAACATTTTATGACAATGAACTGACCTTATGATTAATATTCTCTCTCTCTATTCCAAAATGTCTATAATTTTCAGATGTTATCGGCGTCAATTGTGGAGCACGCGGCTCTCGGTTTCGCGTTCGCCGTTCTCTCGCTTTTCGTTTTGGCATTCGCCGTCATCGCAATTGTTCTTCTCACAATTTCCCATTCTTGCTGGTATAGATGTGGTGAGCGCCCACACTTCATTCTTGACAGAATCTTTCTCTCTCCCTCCCAAAAAAATTCAATTTCCTTTTCTTTTTGTCTCCACATCAATGATCATGCACTTTTTCTTATATATTCATTTTCAAAAAAAAAAGAAGAAGAACATGTCTGGATGAAAAATTGGGATTCTCTGAAATTGATGCAAATTAAAGTTTTTGCAGACACTGAAAATGATCCATTGATGGAAGACTACAACACGTTGTTTTTGGATTGCCAGGAGCCAGAATACGATGAGCCAATTGATACGGTAGTTGGCTACACCCCAAAAAATGCGGATATTGTATAATTGTTTGTTTTTCGATCTGATGAAATAAAAAACTATATACCAAGTTTTGCTATTTTTATTCCCAGTCTTTCAAAAAAACACAAAGTTGAGGCATCTTTCAATTTTTTTTCAAAACTTTGTCACATCAAAAGTTTTGTCTCTTAATGATAATTTCTCGCGTGACCTTTTTGAAATATATCATTTTTTCCGAATCAAAATTTATTTGTCATTTCAATTCGCCTGTACATAATTTCCGGTGATGGTCACCTTGCTTTTTGTCAAGTGCCTGAACATCACTCGAACTCATGAGTGAAGTGGTATAATAATCACAAATTCAAACAATATACTCAAATGTTTCTTCTTCCCTCCTATCTCTTCGTTTTTTCAATGCAAACAAAAATAATTTCACACACAACAAATACAAAAAGCAACTTTTTATTCAATTCGTAACTATGTCGGTTGAGTCGCTGGTCTTTTGTGTGTCGCGAAGAATTTGGAGGAATGATGAGGTAAGTTTTTGCTAGTTTATTTAAAATAAAAAAAAAAAAGTTTGCATCAGCCCGATGCGGGGCTCGAACCCGCGACAGCCAGATTAAGAGTCTGGTGCTCTACCGACTGAGCTAACCGGGCGCACGAATCATCTGGTGGCAATGCCATTGACAACCACGTGTCTATCTCTCAATTTCTCTTTTTTTTATGTGTGTGAAAATTTTGACAGAGAAAAAATGAAAGTGATTTTTTGAGGACTGGAGTGATCGTTTACATACAACTGTCACATCGAATATTCTCATTGGCTTGGCTGGTTTGGTTGCTGCAAAATCATGGAACGACTCACCCATTGAATGTATTGTACCGGCAATGTTTTCATCAAGCACAGCCACGGTATGATAAAAAAGTTTTATATTTTTTATTTTATTCTACTCATAATAGGCGGCACCCTCTTTGATCTTTTTTTTTGAATTCTATAGATTTTCTAAGAAAAAACAACAACAACAACCTATGCCCTTGTAAATCAACCAGTTTCTTTTTCTCCACCCAAAAAATTTGGGAACTTGTGAGAACTAAATGAGAGATAATGTAAGTCGAAAGAGACGCAGAGATACATTCCCGATGGGAGAGGCGCAGACATACCAACAAACAATAGAATCATCATCAGTTTCTCTGTTTCATGTTTTTTTTTCAATTTTTCGACAAAAATTAGCACTTGCTTTTGATTGAGATAGTTTTATCCCTCCCGGGGAGGCGTGTCATTTTTTTCTTTTTATTTGTTTACAAATCATAACTACCCTATCTATTGTGTTTGTTTGGAATCGAGTCATTTTCACTCTTTTTTCCCGGTTGACTGTGTGAATTTTCTTTTTACATTGTTTTTTTTCTGAGAAAGATTACGTGGGTTTTTGGATTCCACGCGTTTTTTGTTTGGATCTACCGTTAATTTTTAATCAGAAACACATGTTTGTTGGAATTTTTTTCTAGATTTTTGATTCAATTATGATGGTATGAAACATCGTTTTCAATATATTTTTTGATTCAATAATTGATATTTTGAAACGTACAAAAACCTTGCGAAACAAACTATATCATTTCTGGGATAGTTTGTAATCGGAAAATTGTTTTTTTGGAATGTTTTTTGATCTATCATAAAATTTTAACCTGAGGTGTTTCTGTTTTTCTGCAGGTGTTCGCTTTCCAAAACCCTTCTGTTACATTTTTAAATTAATTTTTCCCTCTCTTCAAACGTTCAAGTCTTCCTCTTACTCTCTGCTCCATTTTTTTTTTGATTATTATCAAATTAAAAAACAAATTATTGCTCATATTAAGTGTGGCCAAAATGGTGATGATCGAAACGTTTTTGGGGATGGCGAAATATTTGTCGCCACGCGAAGACGACGATTGGTCAGACCGGCTCAATTATTTGATCACACCGAATATTTTGCTCGCATTTTCCGTTCTGATTTCATTCAAACAATTTGGCGGAAGGCCTATTGAATGCATGTTTCCAAATAAATTTCCGGGAAGCTGGGAACAGGTTAATATTGGTTAATTTTGTAGGGGGATTTTCTCGGGAAAAATGATATGTTTCTGGGATTATTTGGGAACTCCAGAACTTAAAGAATTCCAAAAAAATTGTCTTATGAAAAAAAATCATCGCAATTTTTACACAGTACGCTGAAAATTACTGCTGGTCTCAAGACACATATTTTGTCGAGCCAACACAACACGTCGAATTATTGAAGGAAAAAGAGAGATACACTCCAGAAAGACAATTATCCTATTATCAATGGGTTCCATTTTTCCTGTTATTACAAGCAGCTTTTTTTCGCGCACCAAGTTATTTGTGGAAATACTTTTCGAATAGTTCAGGTAACTAACCAACTAATTTTCGAAAGTTTTCAAAATTCACAGTTTTTAAGGAATTCGAATTCATGAAGTCGTCGAAAAAGCCAAAGACACTTCAAATGTTGAGGAAGAAGTTCGTGAGAAAAATATCACTATTTTGATGCGACATTTATCAGCAGCACTGCGTTTTCAACGAAGAATGGTGAAGAAAAAGGTGGTGGTTCATAAAACTGTGACATGTTTGAATTGGCAATATTCATCCAGTTTTATTTCATCAATCTATCTTTTCACCAAAACTCTTTATTTTTTGAATGTTTTTGCGCAACTTTGGCTGATGAATTAGTGAGTTTTTTTGTTGGAATATTACAGTAATTCGACAACATTTTATTGAGATTTCGAACAGGGAGTCGAAATTTATCGAAAACCACGTTACAACTGAAAAATCTCCAGTGAAAATTCATAAATAAATTTTAAAAAAGAGTTGTGCCAACAGGTTCACGTGAAATTTCGCACTTTCATATTATGAACACATTTTCAAAAATTTTCAGTTTCTTGCGAACCAACAAATATCAATGGTACGGTTTTGGTGTTGTTCAAGACATTGTTTTCGGAACTCCGTGGGAGAGAAGTGGATTTTTCCCAAGAAGTGCAGTCTGCGATTTTGAGGTTTGTCACAAAAATTAATGTTTCCTAATCTTTAAAAAATGGCATTTTTCTCTGAAAATCACTCCAAGCTTCCACGAATTTCCCATAACCCATTCAAAAATTTCCAGGTCCGCCAAGTCGCCAACATTCAAAAATATTCAGTTCAATGCGTTCTTGTCATCAACATTTTCAACGAGAAAATCTTTGTTCTTCTTTGGTTCTGGTAAGCTCCGCCCACTTTCGCACACACAGCATATCGCATTGCGAAACCAGCGCGCTGTCTGTCGCTCACTTTATATACCTCGCCGCGAGAGAAATTGAGAGATAGCTTCTATGATCGATAACAAACCCAGCTCTCTGAACGATTCTGAGGATAGAAAAAAGCTGAGAAGCCTGAATTTTTTGAATTTCAGTTACAATTAGGATAACTTGGAAAAGATAATTCACGAAAAATCAGTGACATTTTTTTTTAGGTATTTCGTACTTCTTTTCTGCACTGCAGTTTCATTTATCCAATGGTTGATTCTTCTTTCATTCCCTTGCTTTTCTCGATGGTTTGTAAGTCAACATTTGGAACTCTCGAGCCTTGCTGGATTTGTGCCAACATCTGTTCGATCCCATAAAGAAGTAGCCAGATTTGTGGAAAATTATTTGCATCGAGATGGAGTTTTTGTTCTACGAATGGTTTCATCGCATGCTGGCATCATTTTTGCAACTGATCTTGTGCAAGCTTTATGGAAAGCTTATTATGGAATAGAGGAGGAGAAAAAGGAACTGGAAAGTCCAATGAGCGATCAGACAACTCAAGAAACACAAGTTCGACACAGAAAGGGGAAGAAATCAATGATCGATTATTTAGAGGTAAACTTTTTTCTACGAAATTATGAGATTTTCACCCGAGAACTGTAAGATTCCAATGAATTTTTAGGGCGGAAATTTCTCGACATCCCTACTTCCAACAACTCCAGATTATGAAGAATCGAGCTCTTCGGAAAGCGATTCTCCAAAACGACAGAGTAATACAGTGGCAATTTGAGCTTTTTTTCACTTTTGAAATTTTTACGCGGGTTTTAATAGAGATTTCACTTAAAATATGAACAAGAAGAAAAATAAAGAAATAATAACAACAAAAATCTACTTCTAAATAAAAAAAGTTTCTAAATTCTTCGAATTTTTCTTGGTCTTGGTCCCAATTCAGCCAATGGTGTATGATCTGTGATACTAACAACTCTAACACCAGCCACAGTTAATCCTTTAATCGATGTCATTCGACCCGGTCCAATTCCTTTTACTTGTACTCGAACAGTTCGAATTCCTCTTCTGACAAGCCTTTGACCGGCTGCAACACCAGTTGTTTGTCCAGCGATTGTTGTCTTTTTTCGCGCGTTTTTGAACCCTTCCATACGACATGAAGTGTAGGTTATCACTTCGTTCTGAAAGAAAAACGGATTTGAAATGTTAAAATGAAAAGGTTGCCTTTTCAGAATTTTAATATTTATTTTTTTATTTCTAGAAATTTTCACAATGGACTTCTATCAGTGTTTTCACACCTTGGCCAATCCGTGGCTGGCCAGAGTACAATTTTTGAAAAAAAAAATCTAATTTTTAGTTTTTATAGGACAAAAACTGAAACATTCACAATTTTCATACTGTAAAAAGTTAGCGTACAATTTTTAATTTTGGAAACCATGATTTTGGCCAAGGTTGGAGTGTTTTACAGAAAATTCAATATTTGGTTTAAATTTTTGACCAACTCAAAATTAAGAAGATTCATTCTTCAAATCACGTATAATATTTTAAAATACATCTTGTCTCCAAAAATTTCAATCTGATTTCTCACCTTATTATCCATAACCGTAACAAGTGTATTATTTTTAGTCGCTTTCACATAAACAATCGGCAATTCATTATAAGGAATTCCATCAAATTGTGTTTTCAATGTTTCTGCTGTTGGAAGTCGCGCTTCAATCGAATTCATATTCACTGATGTTTGTATTCCAGCTCCAGTTGTTCCTTCCATTGTTTCCAATTGTACACCTCCTAATTTAGTTCCTTGTCGATGATTGTCTCGAATCGAATCTGCTAATCGAAATGATGTTTGAAAACTTCGACATGGTTGAAGAGGAATCAACGAGTTTTTGACGAGGCTCAATTTTCCCAGCTCCATTCCTAATTTTCGTAAAGCAGCCATTTTTGAATCTGAAAATTTAATTAAGGTTATTTTCCCGTGAAAAAAGTTCAAAAAATATAATTGGTATTTTAACCAAAACGATATTTAACGAAAAAAAATGGAAAAAATGTGACAAAAGTTTATTGATGAAATACAGAGATCCATGCAAAAATAATACCAGTTAATAAATAATGGATATGTTGAGTTAACTATTTTCAGCTCCAAATATTTGAATTGAAGAGCACCGTATTTTCAGCCAAACCCTCGTCATCGCTCATTTCATCTTCGATTGGTAAAAGTGTGACATCACCGCCTCGCAAATTCATATATTGGGTGTCCGGTTTTTCGAGGCCTGGATAAGGCATTTTTTGACTTGATTCAAATACGTTTTTTTCATGTCACACGAGAAAAAAAATTCGAAGACCTTTTAAAAAATTAGGTACATTTTTATCATGAAAATCTCAATTTTTCATAAATTTCTCACCTTTTCCCGGTCGATAAGTCATTCTAGCACTATTCGGGAAAATCGGAACAGCCATATTACCATCAGTCGGCTGCTTATCAAGAATCGAATTGTGCAAACTTTGGAAACGCACCAAAATTGAACGCAAATTCGCCGGAGAAACAGTATCCCCTTTTTTCTGAAAAAAGGGTTTTATATGGCATTTCATATTAATTGAAAAACACTTACCAATATGGTCAATTTGAATCGTTCAATTTCATCCAAAAGTCGATCAACAGTGGAATCATAATAACTTTGTGGAAGTGTTTCGACTACACATTTTTCCGATGGTCCTGCTTGTTGATGTAGATTCATTCCACTCATTTTCATATCATCTACTATTACAACTTCGTGAGATGGAGCTGAAAAGTGGATTTTTTGAAGAATAAGCAGAAATTTTCTGAATTTTCAGAATTGTCTAATTTTTTTACTATGAAAAATAGTCAGAATTTTCATGGGTTTCAACGAACTTCCAATTTTCGGGTAATTTACATTCAACTCACATTGAACTAATAAATCGTCTTCATCTCGATTTAGAAGTTGTTGTTGAACTGTTGAACTGGTTTCCACCTCGGTTTCTGCTTCAACTTCAACTTCATCTTCATCTCTGAAAAATTGAAATTCAAATATTTTTGCAGAAATGAGAAACATACATGTTTTTCTGCCTGGATCGACCCCTACAGTTAGCGAGACCTCAAATAAAAATTTTCAAAGTTAGTGAGACCGTTAGTGTGGGGGCAAAAGCCTCCCACACTAAAAAAATTTTTTTTTTTCGAAAAAAATTGAAAAATTTTGCAACACGTTTCCAGTATGTGAACTCGAACCCTATGGTAGCTACCATTGGGTCCCTAACTCAGCGCTCTACCACTGCGCTATGTGTGCCCACATAACCCGCATGCTGTTTTTCTCATTTGAATAGGATGCGTTTGAGAGATAGAAAAAACACAAACAGTAAATTACATTTTTGTATTTTACATTCAATTATTCAAAAAAATATAGAAGAAAATCATGGATTGAATTGTAAATTGAAATACGAATTCTTTAGACCTTATACAATATAAAAGCTTATCTTCAATGAATAAATACGATAAAATACTTTTTTCCATTCGAAAATGTTGAAAATTGGTTATTACCAGAAAACTCAAAACCTAGAAAAGTATGTCAAAATTAATATTTTCACTTGAAAATTTGCACAGTGTGTCTAGAGGTCCTATTGAGGTATATTGAACTATGAAATTGATAAATAATGCTGCATGGGGAAAATAGTTGAGACCACTGGATTTTATCCAGGGTTACCCTGGATTTTATCCAGATTTTTATATAAGTGCCCGGCGGTCTCAGTAGACCTTTCAGAAAGGGCATTTATTCTGGATAATAATTAAGAATAGACCTTGTGGCATAACCTAGAACGATTTTCAGATGCTAAAATCAATTTTGGTTTAACACTTTATGATGATAGAAGTGGTGTATTGATGAAAAAAGTAGATTTTCGATAGTTTTTGGGCCGGCGGTCTCAGTAGACTTCTTAGAAAGGGGTTTTATTTTGCATAATACCTAAGAGGGGACCTTGTAACATAACCTAGAATGATTTTCAGATACAAAAACCAAATTTCGTTCAACACTTTATGATGATAAAAGTGGTGTATTGATGAAAAAAGTAGATTTTCGATAGTTTTTGGGCCGGCGGTCTCACTAGATCTTTCAGAAAAAGCATTTATTTTGGATAATGAGTAAGAGTGGACCTTGTGACATAATCTAGAGCAATTTTGAAATCGAAAAATTATTTCATGTTCAAAACTTTATGATGATAACTAATTAAAAAAATTTTCAAAAAAATCGATTTTCAAAAAAAAAGTTAGTAGGACCTCAAATTTTTTTCGGAGTTAGTAAGACCGCAACCCTGGATAAATCCAGGGGTAAAACATGTATGATGAGAAAACTTCAATTAATAAAATGAATTAAAGCGTGACCTATCACGTAGCAATTTTAAATAAAAATTATGTTCACATTTATTTCATTTCTAATTTCTATTAAACTCACAATAATTGTCCATTATTTGGTTCGAAAACATCTTCGGTACGTTGAACTTTTCTATCATCTCCGGCATAATTTTGATGTTCATAACTTTCTTCAACATATTCATCCATTTCAATATCAACATATTGTGATTCATTATGATGTTGATGATTGTGAACAGCATCATATTCAGCAGGATCTTGCATTGTTTGTTGTAACATCTCATTTCGAACTTCTAATGGAACTAAAACTCCCTCATTAGATCTGATTTTTGCGACAAATACACGTGGCCTTGGCCAATTTTCATCATTTGCTAATTGCGATGTCGTTTTCTCAGTATATTCTCTTAATCGTGGCACACCTTCTCTCACAATTCCAGCTTGATCGAGCAACTCCTCTTCCCAAACTTCACATTTTTGTGGAATTCCTGCTTGTTCCCATCGTTTTGTGCTTGCTGAATATATTGCCTTGAGCTCTTCAATATCGACAAAACAAATTCGTTGCGCGTAAATATTTTCGTGGGAGAAATTCATGAAATGTCGACGAAGATATCCGATAATTTCTTGAGGTTGTTCACCATCCAATTGCTTGTGAGCAATTATATATTTAATTATCTAAAAAAATAATGTTTTTTACACTCAAGAAAATTTCAACGTACATTTGGAAGCCGCATTCGAGCATCATGCCCATAATGATCACAGCAAACTTCAGCAGAAACCGTTCTAAATTTAAAAAAATATATTTACAATAATTGAAATATTCACTCACCCATCATCGTGTTCTGTGGCATGAATATATGCGCAACACGAATAACCAAGCCTGAAAGGTCCAGTACGATCTGGTTTTATTTTTTCGGCTGCTGAATTGACGTATCCACTTCGATTACAAGCCATGAATATTCCTTTTCCTCTTCCTCGTCTTTTTGCGCCGGATTTGTGTCGAAAATGTGCTCCGCCTTCTTGTTCAATCCATCGAACGAAGCGCTGAATTTCCATGATGAAAAATTGGATGAAAGTTTCAAAAACTTACATCAAACAATTGACGATCTTTGAATGATAATTGATGAACTTCTGGATGCACATCATGATCGAATTTCAAATGTGCGTGGAACTCAATTCGTGTGACAAATTCGGCGTAACAAACTCCACAACAATAATAACGTTTCTTCAAATCTGGGTGAGCATTGAGCGAATCATTTGTTTGACGGCCACACTAAAATTAACAAATTAAAAATATACACCACGAGAATTCGACAAACCCCATTGTTTTTATGATAATCTATAGTTCTTAATGCTATTAGTTTACTACATCCATAAGGACAGATAAATCTTGCTCCAGCATTTGCACTTCGTTTCGGAATATAATCAACGGTCTGGAAATCGAATATAAGACTTTGTTGAAGAACTTTCGAAAAATACCTTTATCTCTTCCATATATGTTTCTACATCGAGGACTTCTTGAAGTGTCTGATTGTGCATTTCGTCGCCCATTTTGAGGCTGAAAATCGACTTTGATCGTGTTTTCTTGCTCAAAAAATTGAAAAAAAAATCAGGTGTGTGTCAACAGCTGGAGAAGACTGACGCATATCCAATGCACACAAAACGCGTCAGCAAAAATCGATAAGCCTAAACGCCGCTGTTCCATTCTCAGCGATTTGGGATGAGAAACCGGCGACGAATTGGCGATGAATCGCCGACGAACAACTGGAAAGTCGCTTGGCAACCGCCGGTTTCTCAGTTGTTCATCGCCAGTTCGTCGCCGGTTTCTCGCATGTGTGTGCGCTAGAGCGAGCTTGCAGTTTCACTTTTTCATCGCGGTTTTTTGCTTTCTACGAATTTATAGGTAGGAATCAGTTCATAAAATGCTTTTATTATCATAAAACATAGTGAATAGCAAATGTTCAAAAATATAAGTACATGTAATGTTTAAAAGTCACCTTATACAGGATTAATTAGTGAAAATGACATTTTATAAGTCCTTGTTCAGCGTTTTCTGGTGAAAATTTCGATTGATATGTTCTCTTTGTTGTGTCATCAGAATGTGCATCAGTTTTGTAGAGAATAATGTGATGATGAAGTTGTTGAACAGTTTCCATAACATCTAGGCACAACCAATCTCTGTAAATTGTATTCATTATAAACTTGATAAATATTATTTTACGGCGTCCAAGTGAAAAAAAAGCGTACGCAAAAACGCATAGAATCGCGTAACTTTTGCAAAACAACGTGTGTTTGGACAAAAAAAGCGTAGGTCTAAGCGATTCTACGTGTTTTTCACTTGGACGCCGTATTATCAACATACCTTCGCAGTGATATTTCATTGAACATTCTTGAAGATACAATCGAACATGTTTCGGCGTCGTAGTCTGTAAAATTTGAGTATGGAATTATCTATTATCATTATTGTATTTGGATGTACTTATTAATATTGAGGCCGTGTTCTTGGAATAAGTTAAGATGTCATTGAAAGTTTATATCTAGGTTTCACTCTGTATACTGTTCCTGTCTATAGTGAGAAAAGGTATTCAGACACAATACTTAGTGAATTATCAACTTTTGACGGACATTATAAGAAATGAGATAATAATTCCAGTGAAGTTAACGTGAATTCACGTTTCGCAAATTTTCTTAATTCATTGTTATTTATATCTGACAGGAAATCATAAACTCTAGCCTCTGTCATGACGGTTTCACAACACTTCATGAGATAAATGAATAAATAACTCACCATTATATCAACTCTGTGCCGCTCCAATCGCAAGGTTTCGCGTTATTCAGCCAAATCTCATAATTTTCAAGTGACATGTCTGAGTGTTCAAAGTAAGTTGCATGCTGGACCGTTGGTGGTTGAGAATAGCTTACGTGTCACAAGACAGGTTCATTGATATCTATCTAAATCCAGATTTTTACAATCATTTCGAAATGTGAACAATTCATCTCACCTGACTTTTTATTGCAAAATAGTTATTCCCTACATTCTAGTTGATATGTTGATTTTGTATGCGCCAACAAGCAGAACTTCATTCACAACATACTGAAAATACTTCGTAAATAGGCTACAACTGAAGGTTGTTACGAAAAACAGGCGAAAACAAAAAGAAACTTCAAAATACATCGCTCATTTTTGAAAAAAACATGTTTTTTCGAGCGCGAAAGCAATGCTAAACAATAGGTATAGTTGTCGGAGTGTTGTCAAACTTTTACGTGATGAACTCGCGAGAAATCGCCGACGAATTAGCGATGAAAACAACCAAGCGCTCGCTATCTTCTTTTCTGAACAATTCGCGATGAATCAGCGACGAATCAGTTTATCGCGTGTTCGTCGCCGGTTTATCGTTTGTTTCTCAAAAGACCATTTTCGTCGCCGGTTTCTCATCCCAAATCGCTGAGTTTTTCTTGTTTTGTGTGTTTGTTTCAAGTGTTCTTTTTGTTTCTCATAAGTTGAAAAACATTAAAAGATTAGTATATTTTTAAATTTCAGGTTTCACCATGTCATTCCGACCGCAGTATGGGGTGCCGTATAATCGTAAGTATTTTTTATTTTCAAATTTGAATGCAATCGAAAAAAAAACAAAATAATTACGAAATGATTGCTCAGTTGTTTTCTTTTTTCACATGACTGAATTCGACATTTTTGTTTATTTCTCGCCATGATTTTTCAATGAATCATTCAAAAATCCTCGAATTTTTACTGAAAAAGTAATGTTTCCGTTTCCTCGGAATCTATAAATTTCGTTTCGTTCCTCGAAAAAAAGATGAATCGAAAAATTGAATTCCCTAGTGTACTTGTTGATCAAATTTCCCCTCTTTTCATGGCGAAAAAATCTTTGCCCAATTTTTTGTATCATCATAAAAGAACGAAAAATAATAATAATAATAGTTTTGTTCCGGTCGACGAGTTCTTGTTCATTCATTCGATCCCTGAATGTATTCAGCGACAAAATTCAGACAAAACAAAAAAGCCCCCAAGGCATAATGCATAGTTGATGTTTTACTAGTGGAATGCATTTTTTTCCTTTTTGCCTCCATTAGCCTTATTGCTCTTCGCCCTCCCTTCTTTTGTGCCTTTCTATTCTTTTTTCCACACATTGCACATCCTTTTTTGAGCTGAGCTCTTCCTACTTTTTGGCGACCGAAAAATTAGTTATTCATTTTGTCTGTGATGTATTCGCTAGTTCTATTGAGAGCAGGTTTGTTTATCTTTATTCAAAACCAAAAAAAATCTTTGAATATCAAGTTTCAGTCATGTGGAAATTTATATAAATTATTTAATTGATTTTAATTCTAAAAATAATAGTTTTTTTGTTTCAGATTATCCCCAACAGCCGATTGTTTTTGGACAAATGAGAATGCCTGGGCAAATTGTAAGTTTTTATTTTTTTCTACTGATAAATTAACGCTTCAATTTCTTTCAGCCTCCACCTCGTGAAATGCCACCAGCCCCGGTTTTTGTTGGAAATATATCCGAAAAATGTTCAGATGAATTTATGAAGAAAATGTTAGAAGAGTGTGGTCAGGTGTCGAGTTGGAAACGGATTCAAGGAACCAATGGAAAATGGCAGGGATTTGGATTTTGCAATTTTTCAGATGCCGAAGGAACTCTTCGCGCTTTACGAATCTTGAATGATTTCCATTTGGGAGACAAAAAATTGACAGTGAAGGCGGAAGAAAAAGTTAGAATTGATTTGAGAAAAAGTGCGATTGAGACTCGAAAACGTCAAGGTCCGTTTTGTTTGGTTTTCAACAATAATGAAATGTATTTATTTCTAGGTAAAAATGATCTGAAATTGAAGGAAGATGAATTGCCAGCCGATGAGGAGGATTTGAAAAAAGACGAAGAAATTCGATTGAAAATATTACATTGGATAGAACACGATCATCCAGAATTATTGACTGTTGCTGAAGGTAATTATTATTATTATTTCATTTACATTTAATTTTTTCTAATTATTATTTTGTAGACGGCGAGATTTCGGATAAGGAAATGAAAAAAGAAATAGGAAAAGATCGATCACCAGATCGAAATAAAAAGGTGAGATTTTATTTGAAAAATAAACTAGTTTTGGCGCTGGTAAATTCCCAAAAAAGGATGAGTTTGTATCAACTTTTTAAACTATATAGGGCTCTAACAACAATCAACTTTTGGAGAGCGATAAGTAAGTTGAAAACCAAAAATATTCAAAAAAAAATCAAAAACATCATCATCAAAATTCTATATATGTTCTCACCAAAAATTATCTCGTTCACTATGTTTGTTAATTTTTATTTCAAAAATGTCCTTGCACTGTTTTGTTTTTGTTTCTCACATATTCACACGCCAAATACTAACCCTCAATTTGAGATGCGCTTTTTATCCTCCCAAAAATGTGTCGTTTTTTTGTGCATGCTGTGTTTTTTCTAATTTAATCAATAATTATCTAACAAATTGAAAGTCTATAAAAGAAATTTTCAGATTTTTCCAAGTAATGAAAAGAAAAGAAGTTTGGACGTTGTGAGGTGATTTTTTATTTAAATACCCAATTCTAGATTTTGTCGAGAAAAATTATGTATTAATTAGGTGATTTTACAGATTTTGCATAATATAATTGCGATTTGACGTAAGTTGAAAATAACTTGAATTAAATTTCATTATTATACATATATTTAATTATGTAAATCTTCAACCTTTTCTCTTTTTCTCTCTCTCTCACAATCTCTCGCTTCTACGTCCTCTCTGCATGCTATATTGTGTTTTTTATTATTTATTATTTATCATATCATCATTGAAAGTGATCAAAATGAGAAAACAGAAAAACATATATTGTGTGCGAATTGTCTTTCTATATTTATTCATACCATTAAAATTTATTATTTTTTTGGAAATGAATGATGAAAATCTAGGAAGCAAGCAAGCAAAGCTTGATTTATTCAAAAATCAGTTTAAAATTATACAATTTTGAATTTTCAGGATCGGAGGCGAAGATCAAGGAGTCGAAGCAGATCACAGAGAAATAAGTGAGACAATACAAAAAAATATTCTGAATTCAAAAGTTTGTTTTTTTGTAGGAGACGGCGAAGTCGTAGTAGTTCATCATCATCAGATAGTCGATCTTCGAGAAGTTATTCATCAGGATCATCGCGATCCAGATCAAGAACACCTGCGAAAAAGACGACGTCGAAGAGAAGAAGAGAAAGGAGCGGAACTAGGTTTTTTTTTGGTTTTGATTTTTTGAAATTATATTCACAAGTCTCTTTTAGAAGAAGCCACAGAATTCAGTGCTTAATTTGAATTTTGGGTTTGATTTTTAAGAGAACTGAAAATATTCAACATTTGATATCATTATGATATTATAATAACAAATCCCCACTTCATTTTCGAGAGCTAAACATTCTCATATTCTCTCATTTTTTCAAAATGTGTTTTTTAGCCATCAAAAAATGTTTTCCTTGTTTTAACCCATAAATATTCCAACTTCATCCAATATGCATTTTTCAGAAGTTCTGAAGACGAAGAAGATGCTCGTGAGCGGCGGCTAATTAAACAACAATTCAAAGAAAAAGAACTGACCTATTTTAATCGGCTAAAAAAGATGGGAAACTCGCGAGAAACATTTTGCAAAAGATTACGAAAAAGAGGAGCGAAAAGAAAAAGATCGGAAGAATTTTATGCAGAAAGAAGCGAAACGTCTTCGTTTATTTCTCGAAGACTATGAAGATGATAAAGATGATCAGAAATATTATAAAAGTTCGATGTTGTTTAAAAGAAAACGAGATTATGAATTGGAATTGCAAGCTGATCAAAAAGATCGTTTGAGAGAACAACAAGAAATTGAAGAATTGAAAAAACAGATAATGGAAGAAAATAATGGAGAGGATAATATAATAAATGTGGAAGAAGAAGCTATGAAAAGGCATCAACAAAAAGAAGATGAAGCTATGAGAAAATTAAGAGCTGATTCTGGAAGTCCGAATCCTCATCAACCATTGGGACAAAATGGAGATGAAGAAGAAGAAGAGGAAGAAGAAGAAAGTAGTAGTTCGGATGGAAGTGACAGTGGAGATGATGAAAAGGATAAAACCGAGAAGAAAGATGTTGGAGAAATAGAAGCCGAAGAAATTAATAATGGGTAAGTTTAGTAAAGTTATATTGGAAAATGTTAGGAATTTATCCGAACTCTCATTTTTAAGTAATTTCAAATTATAATTAAAATGTTTTTCTCTGTCAGAAACCCAAATTAAAGTTTCCTTCAAAAAATTCAAAATTCTTCAGGAGCCTCGACATTGACACACCTGAACCTCCGAAACCGCCTGGTGGTTGGAAAGCACTTGGAAGTACAGAAGAGACTAATATCATCAGACCAAATAAGAGTCCTAATGGAAATCAGGCAACATCTAATTCGAATTCTCATCCTCCAAGTTCAGCCGGAGTTTCGTTGTTCCAACCGATTGCGCAGAGATTGAATGGAGTTTTTGGTGGGTTTTCAGGGAAAATTTAACAACAAATCAAATTTGGTATACAATTTTGACTAGAGCTATTTTTTCGGCACTTCTGAATTTACGATTCAAAATTAACCTATCTATTTCCAACTTTTTCCTCGGAAAATAACCCTATTTTCAGGCAATGATGATGAAGACGATGATACAAATAGTAAGAAAAAGCTGAAACCACTTGAAATTACGCGCGAAGAACGAATGCAAGTAATGTCGGCTGAAGAGAAGAAGACTTTATCTCGCCAAATTATCAAAAATCTACCAACTGGTCGCGAGGATCTGTTTGCCACTTCCATCGAATGGGATTTCATTGACAAAAGTGTGATGGAAACACGAATCAAACCGTGGGTCACGAAAAAAGTGCAAGAATTTTTGGGCGAAGAAGAGACGCAGTTGGTGGATTTTATTTGTGAGAAAATTGAGGCGAGATCGTCGCCTGAACAGATTTTGAAAGATATTGCTATGGTGAGTTAATGTTTTCTCTGTCAGAAATTAAAGTTTCCTTCAGTTCAATTTTGGCATTTAATAAAAGTAGAACATTAGTTTTGAGCCATTCAAGACAGAAGTTTTCATAAGCTATTTTAATATTCTAAATACAGAAAAATTAAAATCTGAGGAATATTGAAATAAATCAAACATAATGAACTTTCCAAAAAAAAGTTAAATTTAAATTTGATCTCAAAACCAATCAGTAAACACTCATTTTCTGCAGATAATCGATGACGATGCGGATCAATTTGTGGTAAAAATGTGGCGACTATTAGTATACGAGGGACGTGCCAGAAAAATGGGAGTTCAATAATCCATATCCCATTTTCCCCGACCCCCTTTTCTCTTTTTCCTTGATATTTTTTACACACACATTTTCGGGTTTTGTAGTACTCTAGCTTTCTATTTTTCAGTCCCCCCAAAAATTTGTTGGTTCAACCGATGTGCGTTTTTTTTCGTTTTTTCTCCTGTTTGTGGATTTTTTTGTTTAATAATAATAAAATTTTGTATAATTTTATGATCGTTTGTCTGTTTATTATTTCGTTTTTATTTTTCTGTCTGTGAGGGCAAAAAGTCGTCAAGTTCAACGAAATTTACTTGATTGCCTCAATTTTGTGTTTGAAATTCCGAAAGGACATATGTTTTTGAGCTCTCATTTTGAGATAATTTTCCTATGGGACGATCGTTGAGATGGGCTGTTTCTTTAAAGGAGGTGGGTTACTGTACATATTTTGAGATTAATGTATTTATAAGAATGTTTGTAGACATTGAGTTTGCCGAATTTCGAGGAACTTTTTCGAAAAGCAATTTTTGGCCTACCTGAAGAAGATGTCAAATCGCAAAGAGCTTTTCGATATAAACAAGATAGTTTGGCTTGTATAATTGGAAGGATTTTGATAAGGTATGTTCCTTTAAGAATTGGGTACTGTATAGAAGTTTGCTTAAAAATTTTGAATTTATGAAAAACTGCAAAAATCGAGTTTCCAATAAATATTTTTTCCTACTGTATGAAAATTTTAAACATGGAAAACCGATTTTTTTGGAGAAAAAATGTTGAATCGTTCCTTTTGACGGAACAATTGTGTTCAAAATTAGGATTTTTCAAGAATTCAAAAAATCTTGCCCCAAAGTTTATTGTGCATTTTTTTCTCAAATTGAAAAATTGGTCATATGTTGAAATGTTTGTAATTTGAACTCGGAAGATTTTTTTCTGCTACAGTTTTGCTCTAAATTGCCACGTATTATTCCATGTTTTAAAAATATTTAAAGACACACAATCCGCTAGAAATGAACAGAAAATGAGTTTGTTATTCATTCATAACACCTTTCAAGTAATCTAAATTCATGAAAATCGAGAAAAAAATTTGAGTCTAGCAGAAGTGAAAAAATAAAATAATTGTTTTTGAAATCGCTCAGCCGACGGAAATTTCGAAAGTGTGTGCACACAGTGTGTCGCTAGAGCGCACATGCTGGTTTTGTCGTTTGAAAATAAATGCGGGAAATCTGTTTTTTCCAGTGTTTCTTGTGTCTTTAAATTGTTTCTCTTTGATATTTCCACAATGATTTTTCCAAAATGTTTTTATTCTGAAAAAAAAACCAATCCCATTTGTGAGATATCCATGTGGCACAACAATGTTTCCAGAAAAGCGACATGTGACATCCTCGAAAAATCCTGGCCCGAAATCACATTTGAAAGAACGGGCCGCGGAAAACCGTATCTCAAAAATTCGCCGCCAAATTATCATTTCAATATTTCACATCACGGTGATTTGGTTGTTTTGGCCACCGAAAATGTGCCAGTTGGAATTGATGTAATGAGAATTGAAAAAAGGAGAAGTGAAACAGCTGAAGAACATATTATGAAATTGAAAAGACAATTTACAGAACAGGAAATTGAAACAATGTTGGGATTTGTGACAGAATTAGATAGGTAATTCGGATATTTTCTTCATTATAAAAAACTTGTTCAGATGGCGTGCATTTTATCGAATTTGGTGTTTGAAGGAAGCAATTCTCAAAGCAACTGGAATTGGATTAACTGATAACCTTAGAAAATATGATTTTTGGACTAAACCCAATCATTCATTCGAACCTGGCTGCTATTTGACGTCTACCCGATATTTTCATGAAAAAATCGAGCAAAAATCATGGAGAATTGAGGAATGTTTCATTGGTGAAAATCACTGTGTTGGGGTTGCATATCAAAAAAAATGAGCAACAAGAAATTGCGACGAAGAATTTTGTCATGATGAATTTCGCAGATCTTTTGTACGATGTCCAATTCTTGAGTCCCGATTTAGATGATATCGAAGAATTTGAGATTTTTGATGTGAAACCGGATAAACATTTTTGATTCGGAATGTTATATATCGTGAGATAATTTGGTATTATTGGTCTATTTGTGATAATTTCTGAACAAAAATGAAATTTTTGAGTTTCTGACAAGTGAGTAACTTTTTTTGGAGACATTTTTTAAAATGAATTTCACAATCTGGGAACACCAACACTCCTAATAACGATGCATCAAATTCAAAAGTTTACCACACCATAGCCTTTCTGACATTTTTATTTCGTTTTTTCGAAAAACGTTTCGAATTTCATCTCTTCCTCGAAATTCTTTTTAATGAAAAAAAAGCCCCTCAATTTCAATATCAATGAAGTTTTATTACAGTACACTTTTTTTCAAATAGCTCTTTTCGTTGTCGATTTCAATTTCAATTTCTTATTTTCCTGGTCGAAGTCCGTCGCCTCTTCCAATTGCAATATTTCGTTTTCCAAATGAGAGGAATTCCGGGGCTCCTGCCATGCCCTGAAAAATAATTTACAAAAAACTTTTTTCACCCCAGAAGTTAGACTATATATTTACTCACATCAACATTTCCAAGCGATTCATCATAATCCTCAATCCATTGTCGAAGTGGAATTGCCGAAATCAATGCAAGAATCAGGAAAAAAACAAAGATTTTCAGCAAGTTTTTTGAGCTCGAGAGCATTTTTGTTTACCTGAAACAAGGCAATGCATATTTTGTCAAAAGGAAAAGTTATTATTCAAAAAAATATAGAGGGACCTTGGAGAAGAACTAAAATGATATATTTTTTGGAGGAGACGCCCATTTTTGAATGATGTGGACTTGGATCAAAAAAAGAAGAAGATGAAGTCAAGCGAGATCTTGATGATGATTGAGTAATATTTCAATAACTCAAAAATGATACATTTTTTCAGAAAGAAAAATGAAAATATCCAAAAATAGTTGGTTTCGGTTTGAATTTTGAATAGTTTATTTGGATAGTGGTGAATGAATGAAATAAAAAGAATATGAAACAAAAATGATGTCAGTTTCAGGCTAGAACCTTGGACTTTTTTTATGTTTAGAGTTTTTGCATGAAAAAAACACTTCTACCAGGAAACAAAACAAAACAAAGCGAAAAGTGTGTGTTTTTTTGAAAAGGGCAAACTAATAAGCGATTTATTAGATATTTTTTTTTGATGACGTGGAATGATTTTTTGAATTCGAGAAACAATAACATTCAGAATTTCAGCTAAAAATATGTGATCTACCAGGTTTTCTTTTACACGGGATTCTTAATTTCCAAACCAGAATTGATTCCAGATGCACGTGAGAACAATTTTGCTACGTGGGTTTATAAATTCTGAAAATTCGGTTCCATACAGTAATCTCGCTAGCTTATTCACCAAAATTCTTGTCACATCGCTTTTTCTATACTTTTTGATCTTCCAATTTCACTTGCCTTATACAAACTAATAAGTTATGAAAAGTTGCGAGTCTTTGCAAAAATAATGTAAAAAGATAAATGGGGTGATAAGAATAATAATATTTATTTATTAGTTTCAACACGTCATTTTATTTCGAGTCAGAACACACAAAAAATGTCTAGTTTGGAAATAGGCCAAGAGGAAAACTTTTTTTTGAAAAAAGAAATGATTTCGTTTTTGCAGCGGGTGGGTCGTGGAATATTTGAGTAGGGTAAAGGTTGTTTGAGTTAAGTTATACGTGATTTTTGTTTAGATAAAAGTCCTCATGAATTTACATAGATTATTCAAAATTTATCATTTATGTTCACAAGGTCCCCTTATTTTCAGTTAAAAAAAAGCTCGAATTGAAAAAATGATATCAAAATTGTTCTACTTTTAGTAACGAATAAATTATAAAAAATTCATGTTTGAATTTCTTTGCCAATCCTCAGGTAGACTTCCTCTTTTTATACCAGTCACCTAATTTATGGTGTCCTCCCCGAAGAACAATAACAAAAAGGATACCTATATTTATTGATTGATTGTTATTCACAAAAATATATATAATTATTATGTTAATTTGGTGTACTGGATTACTGTATGTTCTTGCATTTGATGAGATAAAGTGTGAATTGAAAGACGAGCATGTAGAGATTTTGAACCGACCAATGTCCATTCTCGAACTAGATTATCAACATGTTCATCTCGCACAAAACTGATTCGACCGATGTCTTTTAATACAAATCGGATTGTATTTCCAGACAGCGGACCTTCTTCAACTGTGATGAAACCATTGCTCATTACAGTTGTTAGAAGAATTTCTCGAGTATTAGGTTTGACTGTGATGTAGCCAGATTCTTTGTGTAAATCTTCTTTATCACTTGCCCAAGCTGTGGCGCTGCGAAAAAATATTTTTTTTCAAATCGAAAGCCACACGTGGAAAATTATTCTGTCTGAAACGAAACGTTGGCTTCAAAATTTTCAATGTTCCATGTAAAAAGTTCAATTCCAAAAGTTAGGTTATTTTTGAAACATCAGAAATCCACGTGGTAAAAACCCCAAACCTTTATAAAAACTCACGTATAGTTAAGGGAATTGATGTTTGATCCTTCAGGAATTGAAATTTCCACATCTTCACTATATTTGAAAGTTGGAATTGTGGGAAATCGTACTTTTCCGGTATGTTCACCTCTCCAGTGACCAACTAATCTTGAAATTGATTGAAGTGAATACGGTAATCGGTTTGTGTCGTATTCTGGAAATTTAATTTGATTTTCGTGAGGAAAAAATCAGTAAAAAGGAAAACAGTGAAACTAACTAAATTCATATTTCGGACAATCGCCACAACTTTTCTGACAATTATTTTTGATATAATCCTTTGATTGACAAGATCGTGGATCTGATCTCACCCAATTTGGACATGATCTATCGCGATCTACACAATTTTGAGAATAAACTAGAGAGAAACACAAAACTGGAAGTAATTTCAACATTTTTAATGAATTTTGGCGTTTTCGGGAAGGTCATTCGACAACGTTTTTTTTAGTTAGTTGTGTGTTCTTCATTGATAAGATTTGTTAGCATGCGAGAGAAGACAAAAAAATCTTTAACAGGAACCGATGAAAGTGTAAAACTTTATATGTGTTTTCGAAAAAAGAAAATCAATAATTTATGTTAGCCACTGTACAAAAAACTTTTAAAAAATATTCAAATAGTTCTTGTCTCATCATTGATCATTTTTTCGATGTCCAAACTTGTGCACAAATCTTCCATTTTTTCCAAAAGTTCATCTTCGTCTTCCACTTCCAAACAAAGATTATTGAAAATGTTCATATACTTCAAAGCATAGTCATATTTGTTCAAATCAATGCAATTGTTGTCGAAAGTATGCATAATTCTATGATGACAGTCTAAATCTAAAACTGGCCGATGAATTGAAAGATTTTCCAATTGAATATCTTCGTCTTCAACAAGTTTCTCAACTAGCCAATGAATGCTTTTCTTGATAATTTTTCGGGTTGATCTTATCTTCTTAATTTTTTTCTCAATTACTCCCATTTGATGTTCACTGTTAGTTCGAAGCAATTGTGATTTCAAATGATTCAATTCAACATCTCTTGATGGCCAATTCACTGATTCAACAGCTGATATCTCATCCGAATCCATCGATGTATATTCGCGATCTTCTTTGTCGCCTTGGAAAAGTCCTACTGATTCCTTAGCAATTGATAAATCACCAAATTGCATGACATGAGAAAGGTTAGTTTCGGTTTTCACTAGTTCATATTGATATTGAAGGGTTTCAGTATTGAGATCCTCTCCATCACTGTCAGTAATCCAATTAACACTGAAAAGATCACCGAGACATGGAAGATTCATATCATTTTCACAGTATGTTCCCCAACTACTCTCTTTTCCATTTGCAGCAGTGATGGCGTAGACTGAAAATAGATGTTAGTGTGAGTTCTAATTGAATATAAACGTACTATTAAGATCATCACGAAGAACACTATCAAACATGCTTCCAGATTCGCAAGCTTCCAAATAAAAAACAAGTTGTCCAAACTTTCCATTCTTATGCATTGAGACTAAAGCATCATTGAGTTGTTTGGCAGTCAAAATCTCATCTGGGAACGAGATCAATCCTACAGCTCCATGGTCTGTGAAATATACAAATACTCGATCATCTTGGTTTCTGAAAAAAATAGAGTTGAAGTTATTTTGTAGGTTTCTTGAGAAAATAAACTTACGTGTTGAGAACTCGGCCATTTCCTCCAATAACTCCTGAGGCATTTCCTTGAAGAACGTTTATGAAGTTTCGAGTTGTGACATCAGATCCACTATAATCAATTTTCAGTCCCTTGTAGACATCTTTTCCATGTGGTTTGTTGAACAATTTGCCTTTGTATGGATTCCTGAAATTTCCCATGTCAGTTACAAAAAACATTAGTTTTCTGTCATAAAATTTCTAGCTCTCAAAGGTACTGTAGTTTTCGAGAAAACTCGGAACTTACATTTTATTATTTGCCACATCATCATACATAAGAGTGATAATATTTTCAGCAGGAATTCCATGATTTCTTAAAGTTTGATACGAATGTGCAACATCTGCTTGATGTCTATAATTATACCAACCATTTGAGCCGGCTATTAGAACAACATGAGCTTCTTTGTCCAGTTTTGGAGCCGCTGCGAGACCTTTGCGATATTTTAACCGACGAGATTCGACAGTTGAAAATACAGTAACTAATAATAATATAAAAAGTAATACAATTCTCATGACTGACTAGTATCAAATGAAAATGTTATCTACTTATTTTTTGGTGAAGAGCAGAACAAAAATATATATTTATTTTATTCGATTGATAAGAAATAATAGGTTGATTGTCAGCTGACATGACCAAAATAATATTGGCTGATGAAACATTTTTGTATAATAAAAACCTCGAGGTATCTAGAGATTATAAAAATTTCAGACAACAACCGAAAAATTGAGAAAAATCAAACAATCCATCAAATTGGAATCAACAGCTGTTAAAAAGAATGGCGCACAAAAATAATTATTATTTTGAAATTTTTCGAGTGTTTTCTTGTTTTTACTATTTTTCTGAACTTCTTATTTGAAATAAATTTCTCAAAACTCAGGGTAAAAATTTTTCTATGACGTCAAAGTTTTTCTGCAAGTTCAAAAATTTTGTCACGAGAACTTTTTTTCGAAAATATTATTTCGTGCTAAATCCACATTAAGATCTTTACAGTAACCTGGAAAAGTTATTTCAAGTTATTAATGATTCGACTCCAATTTTTTGTCGCCACAGAAATTCAAAAATTATTTCAAAAAATCAACTTTTTCTCGAATTTTCGCTAGCAATTTTTGTTCCAGTTTTCATTTGAAATTAATTTTTCGAATGCATTTTCAAACATTTCGTGACTATTTTAATTTTGAATTCACTTCAGCAAAAAAGTGTGTACATGTGTGTAAAAAATGTTGTCTCCTGTCTAATTTAACACTCCTTCCTCACTCACTCTCATTTATTTGTCGACGTCATTTAGTTTTCCAACATTTTTTTGCTGCAAAAATGTTCGGGCTTGCAGAAGGCTTACCTCGTTAATCATTAGGAGAATTTTGTTTTTTGAAAATATTTGACCAGGTTTGAGTGTTTGGTTCTTTTAGAAGAAGTGTGGGAAAAAATAGTCATAGGTTTCCGGTTGGAAATTTTGATTAGGTTATGGATTACTGTAGCTGAAGTTGAAGTCATGGGCTTTGTATGAGACCGAGTAAGTCTGGTAGACTTGGTCTGAAATTGATTTTCCAGGCATATTTAATTTGGAACACAAAATTTTTCAATAGTTGTTTTCCTAAAAACTTATGAGATCCATTTGAAAGAAGAAAGTCTACGCAGATTTTTTTTCTAAACATTCTCTGAATTGTGAGCTTTCCAAAAAAACTCTTGTCAGCTACTCGTTCAAAGTTTGACCCCAGCAAAAATTACAAGAAATCTGTCAAAAGCCACTTGAAACTGTCTTTCGTTTTTCTTCTTCGCTGTGAAGTGTTTTATGTCAATCTGTTACAAAACTCAACTCTGCTCCCCCTTTTTTTTACCTTGCTCTCTTGGACTGCAAATATTGTCTTTTTTGACAAAGAACATGACAAATGTTTTTTAATTTCGCGAAATTGAATCTCATAAATCTTGTTTTCCTGGGAGATTTTTTCAAATTCTTTCAGTAATTTGTTATTCTTTTCGTCACATAAAAGAATGTTTTTACGAGATTCCGAAAACACATGTTTCACATTTTGTTGAAGAGAGTGCTTGTGATAATCGCTTTATTTTTTCTTGTTGTTTTGTGAGGTGAGGTGAATTGAGTGTGGTTCAAAAAACCTCCCCTTCAGAATCTCCCTTTCTCCCATGTGTTATTTTTTTCTTCTGTTTTTGCTGTTGTTTTCTTGGCTTGAGAGATGGAATGAGCTCAATGAGTAGGCTGCTCTCGGGCAGGTGCTTTTTGTCTCTTGGCTTCTTCCCGCGCTCAACACAAATTCCTCTCATTTTTTGCTGATGTAGTTTGTCTTTCTTCTTTTGAACAACAACAATATACTTAATTTTATTATTATTATCATGTTCTGCTTTTATTTGTTTCATCATCCGGGAGGCCTAAATTTCCTCGTTCCCGGTACTTTTTTCTTTGCTTCTAAGGATTACTGTATTTTTTTGGGTTCACGGTTCAGCCAAATGCCAGTTTTTTCATTCCATTGTTCTAAAATGTCAAATTGCTGTAATTATCTTGGTCGATTTTAAACCCCTCATTTTTTACTTGCAAATCTGTCTTCAGGTTTTTGGAGCTGATTTTTTTGTTTTCGAAGTTGGGAAATTGTACTTGACAGTTGAATTTTCCCTGGAAGATGAAGATGACGTTGAGATTTCAAAAGTCCTCATCAAGTGATGTCTAAATTCACAGCGAAAAACAATTATTTTTCTCGTTTCTGTACCTTCTACAGTACTCTTTGTAGTCTTTGAATTTTCTGAGACCATCAAAAGAGCCCAAAGTTCAGCTCCACACATGATTAATAATTGAATTGTTTGTAAACTGTCAAAAAATGATTGAAATCTCTCTGTTTTTCCCCTTTGCGCGAGATATCAAAAATTTCGCAAACAAATCATTCTTGATCTGATTATCGAAATTGAACTAAAAAATTCGAAAATAATAATGGTCCGATTTTTCTCCTCAAGAATTGCTCGAGAAATGGTGAGTTGAAATTTGGCTCCAGAAAAAAATTGAGATGGAATTGAAATTGAAATTAAGAATGAAATGAGAAGTGTCAAATTACGAAGTCCTTCATAGAAAAAACACATTGCCCAATCTGTACTTCTGTTTATTTGCATTCCATTGAAATTCTATATATCTTTAGTTATTTATAGTAAGTCAGGAAATTTCATATATATTTTTCCTCCTTCTCCTTAATTTTTCTGCCCCACAAAAATATTTAGTTTCTACGCGAATCAAAAATTCGCCATTTTCACACATAATTTTTCTGAACTTTTTCGGCAGTTTATTTTTGAGTATTCGCCGCACGCGATTTTCATTTCCGAATTCCTGAATGATGATGATAATCCTTGAACTTGCGGTTTCAAAACGATCACTCATTTTTTCGCCCCAAAACCGAACAGTTGCTTTTTTTGCAGCAAGCGGTGATGAAAAAAGGTTTGGAATTTTTCCGGACTCTCAAGTTTCAAAAAAATTCTTCAACCAAACTCATATTTTTTGTTGAGTGAGAGAAAGAAGATTTGTCGGTCACTTAATTATTTTTTCTGATTTTTTGAGAAAAAAGATCATTGTGTAAAAAAATAGCCACTATATACTTTTTTTCTCACTATCTTTGATATTTGAAAATTTTCGGAATGATTTCGAAAATTCATGACATTTTTTGAGTATGTAATTTTCGGCTTAAAAATTCGAATGGTCAATCAATTTTTTGAGGCGCCTATTAATTATTCGTGTATTTTGATTTACAGAAATTAATTTCCTTGAAAATTTTCAGACCCATTTACTGAAAAATTCGTGTCTTGTTTTTTTTTCTTCCTCATTTTTTCTAAATCAAATCCTTTGTTTCAGGCAATCAGAGCAGAAAGAATGGCGATTCCATCAAATCTTATGCAATTCTCAGAAGATATCATCAAACAATTAACACCGGAAGAAATCGATGAATTCAGAGAGGCATTTATGATGTTTGATAAAGACGGAAATGGTACAATATCTACCAAGGAATTGGGAATCGCAATGCGAAGTTTGGGACAAAATCCGACTGAACAAGAGATTATGGAGATGATTAATGAGGTCGATATTGATGGAAATGGGCAAATCGAATTCCCTGAATTCTGTGTGATGATGAAAAGAATGATGAAAGAAACCGATTCGGAAATGATTCGAGAAGCATTTCGAGTATTTGATAAAGATGGAAATGGTGTAATTACTGCGCAAGAATTTCGATATTTTATGGTTCACATGGGAATGCAATTCTCTGAAGAAGAAGTCGATGAAATGATCAAAGAGGTTGATGTGGACGGTGATGGTGAAATTGATTATGAGGAATTTGTCAAAATGATGTCAAATCAATAGGCGATTTTGTTGATGCCCCTCGTATATAATATCTTTTTGCTACCGGTCAATTTTGAGCTTCTCTCACAATTTATCATTCCCAAATCTGATTATTATTTAATTGAATATTATTGGTTCCTCGTTTTCATGAGTTGTGTGAATAAATTTGTAAATATCTATATTTATGCGAAGAATTTCGCGCTGAAAAATCTTTTTTTTAGAAAAAAATTCATAAACTTCTTATTGGAGGTTTCAGCCGGGTTTCTTTTATTGAAAGACTCAAAATTTATTTACAGGAAAAAAAAACAAATGAGAAAAATAAGTTAAAAATGAGATACTCGTCATCTTCTGTTTTCTCAACTTCAAAAATCCACTTCTAACAAATATCAGGACAATGTTCACAACACAATTTCTCATTCCAGAAAATCGTGCAATATCTTCGTAAATGTGTTAATCTTGGTGACATTGCTTCAACACAAGCACGAGACATTTGAATTTGATCAACTTGTCGAGCTTCGGCTGATTGTGTTGTGGTTTTGGGTGTTGGTGGAAGAGTTTGAGATTCGTAGTTGGTGGGATTTGAAGAATAGGCATCTTGATTTGGATAGTTGTTTTCTTTCAAGAATTGCTGGACGTCAGAGTATTGAGTCGTCATTCTAGGAGAAAATAGAGTTGAATTGGGAAATCGGAATGAGATAAGGGAATTTTGAAAAATTATAGGATTTGAAAAAAAAATGTATTTAAAAATTCCCTAGTGTTCTGATGAATATTTCCATGGTTATTATCGAAAAAAAATCTCACAGTCTTTCAATTTGAAATTTTCTCCTAATTCCAAAATATCTCAAGATTCTATAAAACCTCACCGATAATTAAATTCCACAGTATAACACGCTGCAATTCTGGCAGTGTTATGAAGACATTGAAGAGCCCAACCGGTTTTACAATCTTCCATATTACAATAAAAATATGACAATGAATCGCAGTTCTCCGCATTTCGATTGAAACAACATTCACACTACAAAAATCCAATTTTTTTGATTACTTATTTTGAAATTTGGTGAAACTCACATCTTTCGATCCTGCGAACCATCTGGCTTTTGAAATAGCTGGTTTCTCAGAGGCGATGAGATTTAGGAAAACTTGGAAACGACCACGCTGAATGAATGATTGATTGATTTTGAAGTCACAATTCAATAAAACATACCCCTTTATTAAGCCGTTTTTTAATTTCATCATCAATTCCTTGTGCTTTACTTTTGATGAGATTTTCGAGTTGACTTCGACTTGGAAGTTGGATAGTTCTTCGGAAATCATATTCATTTGCCTCGATGTTGTGACATTTTGAGATCGGAGTATCGCCAGCAGATCGAGAGAGGAATTGGTGTTGACCATTGCTCAGTTCTTTTTCGACAGCTTCAGAGACTTGACACAAATCACAATATCGGCTGGAAAATTGTGAAATTGGGGTTGGAAGTTTTGTCTTTGGAAAAATATGGAAAGCATTTTATTAAATCTTTTTGTCAAAAAAAACACGAATTCGTGTTTTTTTTTACAAAATTTTTGACAAGAAGAAATTTTTGACAAGAAGAAATTTTTGGCGATAAATCCAAAGCTTTTGAATTTCCGAATATACGGTATTTTTTTGAATTTAAAGAATTTTTATTTTGAAATATGAACTCGAGTGCCCAAAAAATCTTACCAATAAGTTCTGCCATTTCTCTCCACAATTCCACTATTATCATCACACTTTTGACTCAACAAACTAGTCTCCGGAATCATTGTATAAGGCAAGTCAAAACGTATTCCAGCCGGGCCTTCGATAATCGGAACTTGTAGAGTTACACCAATTTCACCAGCCAAATATCCGAAATTTTTGGCAACTTTGATTTTTTTGAAATCAAGAGAGTAATTTCCAGGCGCCCGGATATAATAAACCTATTGGTTAAAAATTAGTTTTTAAAAATAAAATCAATAAATAAAAATGAAATTACCCGATTTCCGAGCTCATTCACAATTTGCACATCATCTTCTGATACTTTTATCTCATTTTTGATACCTCTACAATTATATAAACTAATTTCATCAATCAATATGTACAAATCATCGTTAGCTGCTAAAGTTGAAATCAACGAGATCAGTGGAAGAAAAATCAAGAACATGGCCTGCAACAAAAAATGAGAAGAAGTCCAAAATAACAAAAAAAATGAAATAAAATGTTCCGAAAAATACCAACCTGATCTATCGGAAAGTGAAATGCCTTATTTGAATGGCAACAGAAAACTGGTCCGGATAAATGTCTGCGTGTCTCTCAAAATCCTACAATACTCTATTTATAACTATTTTGTTGGTAAAGCAGGGATTAGAATAGATTGATTGAGATTTTCGAAAAAAAAAGAAGGAACACGATTTTTTCATCTCATCTCAAAACTTTTTCAAAATACATACATAATTTCAACAAAAAAGTGCAAAACAAAATCATCGCCGAGAAAACCGATAAAAGTCGAAATCCTTATTTTTATCATTTTGTCTTCTTCTCTCGTCGAATTGAGGTCAGGTAAGTAGTGGGAAAACGGAAAATGATGGAATTCGAAAATATGTATTATATCAAAGTAGACATTAGAAAGTTTCACTATATACATTTATTATTTGTTGTTTCTGTTGTTGTTGTGATTTATTTGAAAAAGAAATTGAAAAAAACATGTTTCGAAACTTTTTTTTGAGAAAAAAAAGCTTTAGGAATCTTTTATTTTATTAGGATTTTAATTATCAAGCTCGAAATGTGTTTTCTAAATATACCCATGAAAAATTGCCTCCCACATTCCACCAACAAAAAAATGAAAAATCCCATGGTCATCAAAAAATTCCATTTGCCAAACATCCACAAAAAAGTGAAATGGAAAAAGTGAAAATTACTTTTTTATGTAGGCAAAAAAACTATTCTAAAAACAACTTAACAAATTTTCAAATATTATTACCACTATTTTCAGACTCACTGCACATTTTTTGAGGTCGTGCAATAGTCACATTTTCAAAACTTGTCGACGTGTAAAACGGATGAATTCTCCTGCAAAAAACCTTTTTTCTCAACTCTTGTCTATCATAAAAACTCACTCTTTACAAATGACGCCATTTTCAGTTTCAAAATTCGTGCAAACTCTTTTGTACCGTTTACTTGATTCAATTACGATTCCATTTGATGTTGATTCTTGTGGTCTTTTGAGTTGAATATTTTTGGCATTATTATTATTGGATGAAGAAGAAGACGAAGAAGATGGAAGCAGATATTCGCTGGAAAGAACATTTGAGATGAGAAAAATATTGAAGAATGAAACAAACATTTGTAGATTTGTTGACTGTTCACCAGTTGGAGCTTTTTTCAAAGCACGTTCCATAGCCGTTCTTTGATATCTGGAATAATTGAATTATTTTTAAATAAAATAATCTGGAATATTCAGAATCTGATGAAAATTTGACAAACATTTAAAATAAATTTTCGATGTATCGATATTTTTCAGTTCTGACTAAAACTTTTCTCAAAACTCACGGTACTCTGATATAAACTCTTCTATTTACTGTCAAATTTGCAACATCAACATTTTCAGTTCTTGCGCTCACAGATATTTGTTTGGGAGTTGATGTGGATGGTGTATTTGCATCTGGTATTTCAATTTCTTCAGGTTTTATATCAATCAATTCTTCTTTAACTTTGATGGTCTCTATTTCATTTTCATTTTCTGGCAATTCTAATGTTTCAGGTTTAACTTCAGGTTCCAAGATTCTGAAAAATATAAATATGATTAATGGGTTTAAAAATGGAAGAACTAACTCATCAAGATCAAGAGGCCCTTCCTTCTCTTTTTCAGGAGGCAACATTAAATACTTTGATAAATCGATACGTGAATCTTCGTCATTTTGCCTGAAAACGAGAAAGTTGTTGGAAAGATTGTTTTTAAAAAAAAAATCAAAAATAACTCACAAATTAACTTTTTCGTATGTTGTTTGTTTTTTGCGGAGAGTTTGAACCTGGACAATTGAACCTTGTTTAATTCCAAATAATTCGTTTTCTTCAAATAATCCTCTTCCTCGAAATGGCTCCAAAGATGAAGCAATTGCCAGATTATTGTTGAATTGTTTGAATGATATTTTATTTTCAATATTTCGATATTTACCACAATCTCCAAAATAATATTCAGCATTAATAGCGCACGGAGGAGGTGTTATGAAATTTCTGGCAGCATCGTATAAAAATGAAAACGTTGTCGAATATATTTTCCACCAGTTGAAAGGATGAGAAGTCGGGCGCTGCTTTTGAACCATACTTTTAAAATTATGCAATTCCACATCGACGTATCCCAGTTTTTCACTATAGGATAAATTTGAGCCAACATTCGAATTCACTGCAAAATATCATAGTTTCAATTTAGAAAATCAATAATAAAATACTTACTGATATTCTCTCTGACAAAGTTCGATAATGTTTTCCATGTTTCATCACTAAAAACATCGGAAAGAAAAGCAAAACGAGGATCGAGGAAAGTCGCCAAATCATAAACTCCATTTTTATAATTTCTAGTCAGTGGATCGAGAGTTCTTGTAAATATTTCCTCAAACGTTGTTTTCAAATTGTCATCATATACATCTTGCATAATCAAATTTCGAATTTTCACAATTTCTGGAAGAACTTCGGAACAATAACTTTCAGATTTCGACAATTCATTGACGCTTTTCATCAAAAATGATAAAATCATTTGCAAACCCATTAATTGCTGGTATGAATGTTCATCGATGTACATTTTATGATTATTACTGTTAACTGAGACATGAACGATAAAACGATGCTGAAAAAATTAAAATGGCATAAGTTTTTGATTCGTGAAACCTACATATTGCAAAACACCCGATAAAAATTCAGAAACATCTGTCCATTTTGAAATGTTCATTTTTGGAATTTCAAAAACCATTTTGTTCGTTGTGAAGTATCTGAAAGTATGAAAAATTTCATTTAATGAATATTTTTCTATAAAACTAACTGTTCAATACGCTCTTGAAATTTAACATCATTTAAAACTTCTATATAGAAGTTCGTCAGAACATCAAGAGCTATGTTGAATTCTGGAATTTTGAGAATCTCATCGGCAAAATTTGTGATATATGTGAAATAGCATTCATAACTTCTATCAATTATGTTGACTTCGTGAAAATATTGAGCAATTTCTGGATTTGTAGTGATCAAACTTGGAAAACGTATTTTGGACAAACAAAATTGATTGGCAGCTGATTGAACTTTTTGAAGCACAGATACCGGATCGAGTCTAAAAAATATTGTTTACTTTTTCGAATATAAGTGGGGGGGGGGGTTCTTAAAAGCATACTCTAATGATGTCATTTTGACCAATTTGACAATATTCTCCCGAGTTGTTCCATTATTATAATAATGTAAAGAGAAGGCGAGAAAAACACCTCCTTCATTTTTGAGTGTATCAACAGTTATTGCGATCGGCTGAACGAATTTTCTCAAATCACCGCTTCGTTTGTCCGCCTGAAAAAAATGCACAATTATTGAAAAATTCAAAAAAAATCTAAATTACCACAATTTGATGCGCAATCACATCAAGTTCATAATCAACAGTTGACGGAGTTGGTGGAGAATAATTTTTATTGAGTGTATAAATCAATTGAATAAATGCTGGATCGCGAACAGTTTCGGATGGCAGACCAGCTTTTGCGAAGAATTTACACACCATTTCATCAATCTCCACGGCTTTGTCGTTTTTCAAAGATGCTTTTATTCTAAAGACAAAATTTATTTGGTTTTTGATGAATCAATTTTGATTTCACCAACTTTTTCGTTGCCAATGCCAAATGTCTTCCTTTCGGAGCATGCTTGCTTATAAGAGAGCTGACTGGTTCCTAAATAAAAAAAATATTAATTGAAAACATTTCCCATCAACTCACCTGATCATTTTCTCTAGTTTTTTCACTCATTCTGCATGAAACTTTCTCAATGCGCGAACAAAAAATGAAAACTTTGGTGACGTTTGAAATCCCAATCCCAACCTTCAAAGAAAAAAATATGCGTTGAAAAAATCCGCAAACACGCTGCAGCGTTCCATGGAAAAACTAAATGCACTAAACAGCAAACACTACGCGCAAACCCTACAGTACTTCCCGGGAAAAGTGTAACGGGAACCCCCCACACCCGTTCAAACAATGAAAAAATTAGCAATTTCTTTCATTCACACTGCGCCACAATTTGCAAAGGAATTAGCTAACTAAGTGGCAAAACTAAATATACCATTAGAATCAGCGCATCGAGATCTGTGTGAGACTACGCATTTCGAAATTTTTAGGGTCCTGCGAAGAAAGTTAGCAATCGCGACAAGACCCAACGCATGAAATTTATCATGCTCCTTTAATACTGTAGTGCGAAATATAACGGCGAACAGAGAGAATTAGACAAAAGTGTTTGCACAGTTTTTTGTTTCGTTTTACAGTAGAAAACACTCATTGCGTGGCTTGAACGGGTGTGCCCCGTGATTTTTTGAAGAGAACCCAGAGGTTTTTCCTATGAATTATTATCCCGAGAATCTCACAAGCTTCACTTTTCGGGCGGAGTTGACAAAAAGAAAATTAATTGAATTTATTGTTTGCCTTTTACAACGACACTCCGCTTGCTCGCTGTTTAGCGCAAGACGAGAATATTTTCATTTGTTGTTTTTTTTTTCGCTGGGTACCCAGGGTTTTCAGGTTTCCGGGGAAAATAAGTGGATTTCAGTCAAAAATTGAATTTTTAGATGTTCTACAGGACTGGAATTGAAAAACCAACGGAAAATCCGAGAATTATCGAAGAAAGGTGGGTTTTTACTGCACTTCGTTTCAGGGCGAACAAATTGAGACAGAGAGAGTGTGTAGAGTGCGAAAGAAAAAACCGCGAAACTGAAAATACCGCGAAATTTAATAAGGCTGGCACCCAGCCAACTGTTGGGTCCCGAAGCGATGGTCCATGAATTCTCATTTTCAAAAAAATTTCGGGGTTTTTTGTGTCTGCGTCGCGTTTTCTCTATTTGTTCGTCCCAACACAGGACTGAAACGAAGTGACTGGAGAAACACTGTTTCGATTGACATTTTTGAGTTTTCAGCACGAAATATTGATGGGCAATTCGATTTCACTATTAATAACGTGGGAAACTTGGAGGATTTCGTATTTCGATGATTTTTGTGTGATTAGAGAGATAGAAGCGATTGGTGAGTTTTTTGGGGAGGGATTGCGGAAAAATTGAAAAAATCGATGAAAAATTCTGTAAAATTTGAAAAATATATGTAAATCATTAAAAAATTGAAAAAAAGTTAGGCTAACTCATCAAAATCTAGGCCCAAAAATCCAGTCACTAGTGACAGAGAGAAAGAGAGAGTATGTGTGTGTGTGTGTGCGAAAAACTAGGCGCAGAAAGTGTTTGAAACAAATACGCTCTAATGCAAACGCGCCAAAAATGAGATATTTGAAATCAAATTTTTGAATTTTTTCAATTTCTTCCAAAGTCGTAAATTTGAATTTTACTGACAACTGTGAATGTTAAATAAACTTTATGATTAAAAGTACCAGAGCGAGATTAAATATTTGATTTATAGTTTCATTTAGATGTCATCAAATCACTTTTCCTCAATTCAAAGCATAAACATCTTGTAAATGAGTATTTGAATGTTCAATTGTCTGAACTAGGCAAGAACAGATAAATTCTAATATAGTTATACGATAATTTTTAATAATAAACATTGTTGGGAGTGGATCAATTGCAGGAAAAAGTGCAATTGTAACTGCTAAAATATCAGCCATATTACCAACATCCAATTCAAATAAAGGAAATATGAATAAACATGAAACAGGGATATGCATGAGAACAATTGGTATTATTGTTTGAACCAGAAGAGCATAAAACAATTGATTCTGCAGATTTCGAAATTTTGTGGATTGTGTCATCACTGATCTCATCCGTGTGTAACACTTTATCCCACAGAATAAAATAATTGTTAGCGAACTAATAACTAATATCCAGAAAATAGTGACACCAACAAATGAACGAACATCTAAATGATATAATCCATCACTAGTTTTTGGAAAAAAGTAAGCTCCATAAAATATAATATCATCGATGTTCATATCGAAATCTCTTAGAATCACATTTCTCACAAATTCATTGGCTTCTGGAGTTTGATAAAGAATACAACTAGATACAACAGCCCAGATAACACCATAACCCAACGGGCACAAAACCCAGAATATAAAACGCCAATCGTTGAGTGTTTTTAATAATTTTGATCCTAATATAACGAGATAACGGTAATAAAATTGAATAGAGAAAACACATAAAGAGAATCCAAAGCATCCACAATAAAGAATTAGAAAAAACCGGAGAACAGTCTTGTGAACAATTCTATCTTTCTCATTGATGAATACCATATAAACTGATTCGTGTATATAAATTGACTGAAATGTAATTTATATTTTTTTCTGAATTTGTTTTTAACTCTTTATTTACCGGTGAAACAACAACATCAGTTATGGAATATACAATTTCGAAAATAACAAGATACAACATTAGATACTTATAGGAACCTAGTTTTTTCGGTGACTTGAAAATAATCAAAAATATCAAAATAGTATTGAATGTTAATGAGATTATTGTTGACCAAAATTGAAAGTATTTGACAATTTCACGCCAAATCATTGTAAAAATAAATGAAAATAATAACGACAAAGTCGTTTATAAATAAGAGCCACTCGTCATTTTAATTCAAACAAAAGCTCATGGGATTCGGGTTCACTTCTTTCAGTTATTTTTCAATTTAGTTCACAACAAAAATTTCTAAATTCGTATCTGCGTTTTTCAAAGTCTGGTTTTTACAGAAACAAATAAAACTCCAAATTCTTAAACGATAATTTTTGATAATAAACATAGTTGGAAGCGGATCAATTGCAGGAAAAACTGCAATTGTAACTGATAAAATATCAGCCATATTTCCAACATCGATTTCAAATATTGTGAATAAAAATAAAATAGAAACTGGGATATGGATTAACATGACTGGAATTATAGTCTGAACCAAAAGAGCATAGAATAACTGATTTTGAAGATTGTGAAATTTTTTGGATGTACTCATTAACAACCTCATTCTAGTGTAGCATTGTATTCCACAAAACAAAATGATTGTTACAGAACTTAGAACAAGTGACCAGAAAATAGAAACACCCACAAAAGATCGAATATCAAAGTCATATCTTCCGTTGTTTTTTTGTGGATAAAAGTATGGTCCAACAAATATAATATCTTCGATATTCATATCAAAATCTCTTAAAATCACATATCTCACAAATTCATTGGCTTCTGGAGTTTGATAAAGAATACAACTAGATACGATAGCCCAGATAACACCGTAACTCAATGGACATAAAAACCAAAATACAATACGCCAATCATTTAATGTTTTCAGAATCTTTGATTTAAATGCGACAAGATATCGATAATAAAATTGAACCGAGAAAACACATAATGAAAAACCGAAACATCCACAATAAAATGTGAGAAAGAATTGAAGAAAACTCTTGTTGAGGCTTCTATTTTTCTGATTTATAAAGACCATATGAACTGACTCATGTATATAAATCGACTGAAATTTCAAAAGTCAGGATAACGTTTTAATAAGTTTCAATTTCACAAATAAACTTACCGGCGAAGCAACAACATCAGTTATCGAATATACAATTTCAAAAATAACCAGATAGACCATCAAATATTTATATGATCCTAATCGTTTTGGTGACTTGAAAACAATCAAACACAATAAAATGATGTTGAATGTCAATGAGAAAAATGTTGACCAATATTGAACATTTTTCACAATTTCACTCCAAAGCATTTTTGAAATTATTTAAAGTGATGAGAACTCATTGAGTGCACACCCCCGAATTTTCCTTCCCAAGTGATTAGTTTTTCGAATTCCAGTAAACAATAATTGTGCAGGTTCAATGAACGTTTTCCAAAAATCGTGCTAAGCAATTCAAATACCACCTCACATTTCACAGCTAGAAATGATTCAGAAATAGATGATTTTTGAAAATTCCCACGTTTGAATAGTGGTCACGTTTCAAAATTACTTGTAAAATTTTTAAAATTGTTTTGTGTGTGAAAGATTAGATTTGTGAATTAAAACATAGTTTATTACGAATTAATTCACAACAAAAACCACCAAATGAGTATCTGCATTTTTTAATGTCAGATTTTTACAGAAACAAATAAAACTCCAAATTGCTATACGATAATTTTTAATAATAAACATTGTTGGGAGTGGATCAATTGCAGGAAATAGTGCAATTGTAACTGATCAAATATCCGCCATATTTCCAACATCAAATTCAAGTAATGTGAATAAAAATAAACAGGTAACTGGAATATGCATAAGAACAATTGGTATAATAGTCTGAATGAGAAGAGCATAGAATAACTGTTTTTGTAGATTGTGAAAATTTGTAGATTGTGTCATTATTGATCCCATTTTTTTATAACAATTGATTCCAAAAAATAACATAGTCAATACAGATATAATGACCATTATCCAAACTATAATGACAACGATAAATGATTTCAAGTCCAACTGATAATTTCCTTCCACAGATGTCTGATAGAAATATGGACCGGAAAACACAATGTCATCAATATTCATATCAAAATCATTAAAAATAGCATTTCTCACATATTCATTGGCTTCTGGAGATTGATTTAGAACAAAACCACAAACTATACTCCACATTAATCCATGACAGATTGGCCATAAAAACCAAAAAACAATACGCCAATCTTCTAATGTTTCTAGGATTTTTGAACCATAAGCAACAAGATAACGATAGAAAAACTGAACTGAAAAAATGCACATCGAAAATCCGAAAAATCCGCAATAAATTGATATCAGAAACAATGTAATATTTTTATCAAAACCCAAGTTTTTCTGATTTACAAAGACCATATACACAGAACCGTGAATATAAATTGACTGAAACTAAAATAGTTTTTCATTTTTTCCAAATATTCTTACTGGTGAAACAATAACATCAATGATCGAATAAAGAATCTCAAAAACAACTAAATAAACCATCAAATATTTGTATGAGCCCATTTTCTTCGGTGACTTGAAAATTATAAAAAACATTAAAAAACTGTTGAAAGTCAATGAGAAAAAAGCTGCCCAAAATTGAACAGTTTTTACAATTTCTCTCCAAATCATTGTCAAAACATGCTTTGTTCGAATTTGTGAACTTGTCTGGGATATTTTTACTTATAAATCTCGCGGGACTAATTTCATATGAACCGTTAACAAAAATAGTGAGATGGAAGTGAAATCATTTTGAAATTTCGTTTTTTTAAAATACTTACCACGGTTTTCAAGAAGGATTTCAAAAATAAAGAAATTCTTATCTTGAAAATCTATTTTCAGAATTATCAAAAGATTGAAGATATTTTTGTAGTCAGCTAACAAGGGAACCTTTTTTACTCAACACTTCAAATCATGATGAAATTTTGTCCGTGGACAGCTTTTGGGACCATAAGAACACCCTAAAAATTTTAGTCTCCCAATGGACCTCTGAGCCAAGTTTTGGGCTCTCAAAACTCAAAAAAGGCCTAAAAATGGTCATAAAAGTCATCATAGCTCCATTTCAAAAATTTTTTTGCGAGAAATGAAGTTTCAGATATTGATCAGCATTGTCGATTACCTAAAAGTACATCAATAAAAAACTTTATTTTGAAAAATTTTGAAGTTTTTTTATTTTTGGGCTGAAAATTCATGAAAATTCATGTGCCCCTGCTCATTCTTTTTTTCAAAATCAGAAATTTTTCTGAAAATTTGATTTATTGATGTTTTTTGGGTAAATCGACCACGCTGATCATCATCTGCTACTCAGTTTTTCATAAAAATGATCGAAAATTGAGTTATGATGTGTTTTATGAGCCAATTTTGGCAATTTTCGAACTTTTGAGAGCCCAGAACTTGGCTCAAAGGTCCATTGGGAGACTAAAATTTTTAGGGTGTTCTTATGGTCCCAAAAGCTATCTATGGACAAAGTTTCATCAAGATTTGAAGTGTTGAGTAAAAAGGTTTCCTTGTAAACTGTTTATTCATAGTCTTGACTCTATCAAACAATTTTTGTGTTTTATTTTTATTCACAAATTTCCAAAAATGAAAGTTTTTTGAAATGTTCAATAGTATTCTATATTTATACTGAAAAGTTTTATTGTTTTTCTTCCTATTTTAGATTAAGAAATAGTTTCAGAACTCAAACTTTTATTCAGAAGTCTTGCTCAGAATAGTTCAACCCAGTTTCATACGAATTTAGTAAGAATTAACCTCGCCTTGTGAACTTGATGTTTGTTCAATTTTCTCGAGATCTGAAAACACCTAAAACGTTTGCCACGTCTTAGCATTTTAAGGGCTACGGTTTTTTGAATCTGGCCAACAAAATTTCAAAGAAAATATGTTTTCAAGTGTTCGTTTTGTACACCCATTTTAATTTCTTAAATGTCTAGCTCCATAAATCTCGATCCCCAATAAAAAATTTCCGAACTAAGAGAAGGACAGCAGCAGAGTTACGAGAAAACGAATATTACGAAACGCGTTTTTTTATTTTATTTTTCTGAATAGTGCAAATGCACTTTTCCATCTTTCTCTCTCTCTTCTCATTTTTTCCCAGTTGTGTCAAACAAATATTTATTCCCATCATCCACACCGATTTTTAAACTCTTTTGGTTACTCTTCCATTTTGCTCCCTCTGAGAAAAAGCTCGGAGAAAAAACGAGAAAAAAGATAAGCAGGAAAAAAAAGTGCAATGCCCTTTTGCGATCGAAAAATGACATGAAATGACTCATTTTTGGACCATTTCGTACTAGAAACATGTGATACTTTGTTGATGTGTTTTTTTTTTGAAGAAAAGGTCAAACATGTGATGATAATTGGAACTTTACGTGGAGACAAAAAATTGCAAAAAAAATTGATGAAAATGGTCAGTGACCATGTTTGTTTAATTTTGAAATCATGATTTTTTATAAATCAAGTCACAAAAAAGTATTGAAAGAAAAATACCGCACTCCGGTTTGATTAGAACTACAGTACTCTGAAAATATTTTTTGTTCAGATCTGATAATTGAAAAGTTAAAGGCGGTTAGGACAATTTATTCAGTTTTCCTCGAAGCTTATTGTTTAAAATAGTTCTAGAAATCTAAATTGACAAAAAAAATCAATAAATTAACAAGCTGATTGTGAGAAAATCTTGTAAGTTGCAAATTTCATATTGCCTTCAAGTCACGTGGATTGATGTTTTCAAACACTGTTAGATTTGAACTTAAAGAACAATTCACATCACCAGCTTTCAAAAATTTCAAAAATGTGTATTTCGGAAAATTCGCTATATTCAAACAATCGTTTCTATCAACCTGTTCACTTCAAAAATCCCTTGTTTTATCGGAAACAATCCATGATTTTTTGTCGAAGAAGACACACTGAAAGTACATCCATCTCGGGTCCCAATCAACAACATCGTGGTAACAAAAAAAAAACCAAGTGCAATCGTCCTATTTCGGGAAGTCTTTCTTTTTTCCTACTCTTCTCGCGCCAATGTTTCTTTTCTTTTTGCTAGGATTACTGTAGAAGTTCTATTTTGTTTTGATGATTCTTCTTCTTCCCTGGCAGGCATGAGAAAGGACGTGTGCACTTTTGTGGATTGTTTATAGAGTGAAACGAGACAGAGATAGATAGATTTGTTGTTTTGATGTAAAAGAGCTGCACTTTTTTATGGGTTACGGTATTTTTTGGGATGGGAGGAGAATTGATTTTTCATTTTTCGAAGAGAAGAACATCGTTTGAACTTTTCTCACCAGACACAACACAATCTTTTTTGGAATAATAATAAAAATAATAACATAACAATATTCGTAAAGCAAAATTTTTCCTCTATTTTTTCTCTGTCTCGTCTTAAATTGTTTACTGTATAAAAAGTGCAAATGTACGATGATTGACTTTTTATTTTGAAATTTTATTCTATTTCATTTTATTTTTGAAAATATTTTGTCACACCTAACTATGCATTTTTATCAGTTTTTTCGAAAAATAAATATACAAGCAATTGAAAGTGCGAACAATCAGAGGTCATAAAAAGAACATCTTGTTTTTGTCTGAAAACGAAAGATTGATTTTTTGATTGGGCTTGACTGCCTCAAAAATTAACATAGACATAAAGAAAAAGTACACATTTTTTGGGTTACTGTAGGAAATTGTGATGCTTGTTTGCTAAAATGGATTTTTGGGCTACGTGGAGAACATCAATAATCAAATTAACACCAAAAATTGTTGATTGCTGAAGCTTTACATTTTCTTTGGGTTTCTAAGAACTCTAAAAATACAACAACAAAAAACTATTTTAATTTCTGTCCTTGATCTGAAAACGCTTGACTAGCTTAAAAGTTAAAACAGACTAAAAATGGGAACATTTCTGGGTTACTGTAGGAATTTTCGTAGCTTGTTATTTTAGATGGATTATGAGGTGTAAATGAAAATCGGAAAGCAGTATTTTCAAGTTCTCATAAAACTTGTTTGGAAGTTTTGACATTAACTATTTGTTATGAATTTTTGGAATTGCATTTCTTGATTCATTTCTGGTAATTCAGTTTTTGCATGATTATTTTAAATCGGTATTTATTACATTTGAAAGTATGTTCATGTCACAATGTGAGTTCTTACTAAAAATAATAAATTTCCTAATTTTTAGAATATTAAGAATGCAATTTGAAGAATAATTTTCAAATATTGAAGTATTGAAAAATCTCGAGTCGAGAAGTTTTTTTCCAACATTTTTCTAAAGCAACTTCTTAAACTGGAAGATTCTTTAAATATCTCATCAACTTTTAAAATTTTAACTTCCTTTTTCCAGAATTTTAGTTCAAACACCTCACAAGTTCCCCTTATTTTCCCAGCAAAAAGTTCCGAACAATACAAATAAATAAATAAATATTGTAGAATTCCTTTGAATTTCCAAAAAACATTGTCATCCATCACAAATTGTTCGTTTACGAGAAAATACACGGCGTGTGTGTGTGTATGTCAAAACACCAACAGGAGGAAGAAGAAAAGTGGAAGTTTTAAACAAAAAGTGCACACATTCATTCTGAAAACAAAATAGAAAAATAGGCACACACAAAACACGTCAAGCTTCGTTTTTACCGCGGAAAAGTGCGCACTTTTTATCCGAAATGTGTTTTTTCTTCATTTTTCTTTTTCAAAGTGCTGTATTTTTATAATACAAATTTTCAGCACCTTCTTTAACTACCGTATATTTTTCTTTCGAAGTTTTTTCGCGCCCACCCGCCCCTTTTCTGATATCTGTTGTTTAGTAAATAAATGACCAGAAAAGGGCATTTTTCGTATGATGTTGAAAAAGTGCATGAAAAGGGCAAATCGCTTATATGGCGAGAGAGTGTGAAGAAGTTGGATGCGCAGTGAAAAAAATGGCGGAACGAAAAAATGTGATGTTTGTGTGGGAATTCTCTCTCGTTTTTTCCTCCTTTTTTGAAACAAGAGAATAGTTGCCTTCATTTATTTATTTATTTATTCTATCCTATTCTCATGTGATTTTTGATCGCTTATTGATTCTTTTTTGATCAAAAAGTATAGTTTATCGTTTTTTTCCTAAAAATAGTTGGCTTTTTTTCCGAAATTCAACATGTCACTGATAATTTCAAAGAATCTTGTGACTGACTATTTTTTTGAGTGAAAAGTGAACTTGATTTTTGCATTGAATCATTTCTGATAAAGTTCACAGTTTTTGGTTATAAGGTTATGACGTGGTATATTATTTGTCACATAATTTTTCATGCGGAAAACTTGCAAAA